AAGTTTGCCTGCACGTTGTCTCATGCTTTCCACCAATATAGGTCTTGCACCGCTCGTCGACGACTATGTGTTTATTTACTAGATATCGTCGAAGGCATCGCTGAAAATGCAAATCGGCCAACTCTTAAATAACCGTTGCATTTTTTTTTTCTTTATCACCATTGTGACTCTGCGAACAATTTAGCTATCTTACAACCCCCCCCCCCCCCCTCCTTCGATTCGGTTAGCGTCTTTATATGCGTAGCTCAGAGTCACGCTAGTCCCGAACTGGTAACATGTCAAGTCGCGGACCGAGAATATAAAAAGGAATCAAGGACACAGAGCAAAATATGTCTCAAATTTTTTTCAAAGTGATCTGATAGCCAAAAGCCATGAGCTGGTAGTAGCTATGTTATTGATTAGGAATGAGAGGGACTGATGTGGGGCACGATGAGCTGAAAGCGGTTAGCCTTTCTCTGTCCTCCACTGCTGGTAGATCGAATAGATTCTATCGCCTATAAAATCAGGAACAGATTTACACTTCTGTCAAAAATAGTGGTTTAAGTACAGCTAAGGCTGACAGTAGGAGATAGGAGGCGTGGCCAAAACCGACCGTACATTTAGCAGCTTTCTTACTTTGGTGCAAAGCAGCTGGGCTCCAAAAGGCAACGAGTATGATTCATCTCTGTGTATACGCATAAATTTACTTTATAATTAGCGATAATTCTATTTAATGAGCAGGTAGAAGTAAATAAAAAACAAGAATCAGGAACTTTGGTACTTCGTATATCCTCGCTTCGCGCAAGCCGGCGACTGGTGTAGGAGATATTGTTCTTTTTGAGGAGCAGCGCGAACAAGTTCTTCAAATGGTTGAATTGCCCGAAGAGCAACAACCGAGACTTTCCACATGAGATGCCCTTCACCCCGTCCATCGATGAGCTCCCACCGAAGACGAACATTGGAGTCCCCTCCAGGAGCAGATACCTTCATGAAATTTAGTGCCCCAGTCACCGTGGAATAATCCAGCCAAAGGTTTTCTTCGGGACCAGGTATACCGTAGACAACGCTGCATTCTGAAGAGTACCGGATCACTCCAGCAAATCTCCCAAGGGTATCTCCTTCCTGGACTGAAATGATGGGGCAAACCGTGAGAAAGACATCGTCTTTGGGTTGAAGAATAACGAAAATAGACTTGTTCCGCATTGTTTCTGCCTTTGGCTGCAAGTCAAAGAACCCACCGAGTGTAACAGCGGATGGCTCGTGTGACCCGCTCAATTGGAAGACGGTTTCCTCCACGCTGGAGAACCATGGGTTGGTAGCGCTATTCCACGCATTTTCAGGAACACGAAGTCTGTCCGCTACAAGCGACTGGCTCAGCCATAGTCTTCCCGTGAAACCGCCCTTGCTCTCCTCGACCACACGCTCTTCCAACTGTTTGATATGGAAGGCATATCTTTCTTCCCAGTTCCGGACCATCTCTACTAAAGAAGCTCCAGCTTCTGACGAGTAGCTTTTGCAGAAGCGGTCGAATTCCTTTGTGCGATACAAGAGGATTTTGTCAACACCCGCGTTCCGCATCTCGAACAGTCGTTTCCAAAAAAGACGGCACTGCCGTTGATTAGCGAGGCTAAGTCCATAACCCGCTTCCCTCATGAAGCGCTCGGTAGCGACCTTCTCGGCCATCGTGAATTCATCAAGAGGGCCTTTGGAGGTTGGCAAATCCTTTGGGTCAAGGAGTTCGGCGCCTTTTTTGATGATTTCCCAATACACGGTCTCGTTAAATCGAGATTGGATACTTTTGCTTGCCGAGAATGCATTCTCCTGCTTGATTAGCTGGACTGCATCGGGGTATTGCAACTTGACAATGCCATCCACAAAACTCTGAATCGCCTCAACCTTCGTTGTCACAATTGCCTGCTTTGAACAGTGGCCATATCTTCCGAGTGGATCGTTAAGCTTGATACAGTTGACAAGTATGTTCTCGACGATACTGTGCGGCACTTTTCCACCTTGATGGGTATATACGTCGGTCAAGGGTGTTCCAGCCCGGGGTAAGTTCATCGCTGTGTTCGCTTCATCTGTCGACGGGGAATCGGTTGGTATGTTTCCTTCTATAGGTGGTACGGCATCATTCATCCCTTGCGACATTTCTTTGAGAGTAGTCTTGTCTTTCGCCTTGACTTTGTTCTTCCTTTTCTTCTTATGAGACGGTACGTCTAACCCCGTGTAGTCCGCTCTACTTCGTTTTTCAGGTGTGGGGAGGAACCGATAAGAGCCGCGCTTTGCTTTAGGATCCGGACTAGCTGTGGGAGTAGGAAGAGGTGGTGGATCTGTTATTCCTACCTCCTGTCTTGTTTGGCGGACTATGCGTGTCAGTGGATATAGTTGCTCGAACGGTAGTTTGGGGGCTTACTGAAGTCAGAAATACCAAGTATGTGTTGCTTGATAGGCTCATCGCAGCAGTTACTGATTCCGCAGATTACTAGCAGCTCCTGGATTTTCTCCGCTGTCAAAGACCGAAAGATTTCCTCCATGGTGGGTTGTGCTGTGGATGTAAGCTCCAACCAGGAGATGTTGGGGGAGAGAAGTCGGGCAGCCGCTATTTTCGGTCGCATGGGTAACACTAATCTGTATTGGGGAAATATGGGGTCTAGACCGTGGCTAGCAGAATGAGATGGAAAGAAAGGGAAATGAACTTTTCTAAGTAGACCATATTGTAACTAGTATCTTGCACTCTATCAATTCACTGCTGGTAATTTGTTTGCGTGCTCTTCCTGCTACAGCGTTGCTTTCGTGATGGCACATCATGCGGGTTTCTTCGGCACACCGGCCTCTTTGCTTTCTCGCGCTCTTCAGCCTGTCGTCGTGCAGGTGGTGTGATCCCTAGTAGAATAACGATCTTGAATTTCCTTGTAGTAATCTTCATATTATAGCATTTATTGTCCAAATTGGAAGACTTCCCACCAAAGGGGGTGTTCGACTAATAAGACATTCGCCTACTAAATACGCACATGGTGGTGGCCGCGCGCGTATCTGAGACTTGGCAAATCGATAAGATTACAGTTTGCGAGGCGGCTGAGGCGTTGTGCTTGCAGCGATTTTGATCCAGAAAGTGCATGCCACATGGTGATCTGGCAAGAAGCACGTACAGTAATGCATGCGCGAACATCTGCAGTCTACATAGATACCCGTTTTTAGATAAGGCTGCAGCCTCAGGCTTCATAATAGCCAGAGGCGGTTAGCGTTTCTCTTCATGTTTGCTCAGAGTCACGCTGGGCCCAATCAAGACACTATTAACCAGATTTTAGCACGGCGCAAGACTAGAAGGCCATGCAAGATTTGTCTCTACAGAAAAGAGCCTGGGATTAAGAAATACGATTGGTCACCGCCGCATATACGTACAACCCTTCGCCGCTTATGCTGAGATCTTGGAATAGGGAGGCTGCTACGGACCTACCCGTCACCAATCAGTTGGTGCCCCACCGGGTACACAGATGGGCCGACCAAGAGCCAACCGATCTTTCTGTTATCAGATCACGTGCAACATCCCCAGGTATCGGAGGAGAAAGAAGTCACGATGATGCTCACTAGCAAGAGCATGATCCGCCCTGAGCCGGACTAAAGTTTGGTGTATATGTAAACAAATATAGACACCACCTAGTGGTACAAGTGGTACATACAAGCCAATAAAGTCGGCTTGGATTTGATGCCTGGGAAATCTGGCATAAAAGTTGGCATGTTACCATGGGTAGGATGAAATGATTCTTCCAACAGACATTGGGGGTGCCTGGGTATTAGGAAATTCGCTTGGTTTAAAGTGGAGAGTGTTCCCTAGCCAATCATACTTAATGAACACCTTCTTTCACTGCGCTGATAAAAAAGATCAATAAATTAATGGGTTTGTTTATTCTTTTCAACAATTTTGTAGTCGGATTTCTGAGACAATCAATTGTTTATCATCGGCTGTAAATCTTCTCTTGCCCGTTGACCTTCATGCTTTACTAGCATTGATTGGCCTTCTCACGCTCGTTGACAACTCTTAGCACGCTATTAAGTATTCTATCCTCATTTTTCTGCGACACTAGTATCGTCGTTGACAATGCACGTTCGGTCGACTCCCAAATAACCGTTGTATCGTATCGTTTATCAACATGATACCTCACTCTAAAAAACATTTACACCGGCTTTTTGCCCAGTTAATATGCATCACCTCTTCTTTCTATTGCCCACACTTATGTCTGCATTTCAATTTGTGTTATTAAAACTGATTGACGAGGCTATCTCCCAGGACTGGTAGATCGGGTTTTAGTCTCTCGATCGCAGAGCATGTATTTTATTGCCTCTCTCCAGTGTCTTGACACCATGATTCTGCCCAGTTATGTAATCACATGAACTTTCCGTTGGGGGCGCATAGAACGGCCGAAAATAATAATAAACTGATTAATTCGTTCATACATAATTAATGCAAACACAGTGAAAGAAGTAAAGTACTGTTGACCATACTACACCCTCCGCCCCAAATGACGCGCATTTCCTAATACCTAGGCACCGCCCGGAACAGTCTTTTTTTACGTTAACCGATGATGAATTCATTTGCCAGGCTGCTTGAGATCACGTATATGCACTGATGAATATTTCGATCAACATGAAGGGTTGCTGGTGCTGAAGGTATGCTGTAGTGATGTTGCAGTCACGTAAAAGGTATGGTGGGCAACATGTCAATAACGTTGAAAGTACGGTTGCTTTCACGTTGCCGCACCCATTTGATGACCGCAAATAACACCGGTGAATGCCCTTCTAGTCTTGCGGGGGCCGCCTTGTGAGTTCAACACATAAAAGACCAATTTTCGTGGTCGTCTCGCCTTCCATGATTGATAACTCCCCTTCGTGCAATAACATTTATATTTATTGAGCCCTTTCCTATTAGCAGACCTAAGTTTTATAAGAGTCCCCGCTATCTATGTTTTCTATATAGGTTTCTCTTCTCCTAAGAACCCCCAGATATCAAGGCAATCCGCTCAATGGCCGCTATTAAGGCCACCAGGTCCAAGGATGCCACTTCGAAAATAAAATTGATACGGCAAAAACAATGCCGTCGCAAAACAAGTCTGATGAAAAAGGCATGCGAATATAGTAGGATGTGCAGCGCAGATGTGTGCGTAGGTATTCGCATGCGGGAGACCGGTCAGGTGCATATCTTGTCGGCGGATGCTTCGGGCTTTTGGGCTTTTCTTACTTCGCAATTGGTATGTAAACTACATGGCATCATCTACCAGGCGGAGCGCTGACTTACCAGAGCTCTCATTACCCGACTCCGACTGTGATGACAGATCGTGATTTGGAGAAAACCAGGGAGGAGACAGTTTTCAGGGAGCAACGATAGGCACTTTATAACGCAACTGCTGTATACTAGAGCATTCAAGTGTATTTCAATCCTCATTGCAGTATGTTTTCGCCCATAGACATTTTTGTGAAAAACAGTTGTTGCTTTTCCTTTCACTCTCTTACTTGCTATGTCAAGAAGTATATCAGAGGCTGTGCCAAGCCAAATACCACAGTAGTCCACAGTATCATTTTGAGCTTCATGAATAAAGCAGGAAGAGGCTCGAAGCTTGACCGGGAAGAGCCGCCAAATTGGGGCAGGGAAAGGAAGATGAGCCGCCCTGCAATAGACTATACAGTATCATGAGAGATATACACCTTAGTGTAACAACGGTTCCAAGCAGCGATATGGGTGCCTGAGAAATAAACGTGGTAACGCTGAACGAGTTGTTGCTTCCGGCATAAATATTAGTCATCCTACTGGTGAGGATTACTATCCTGGGAGTATAAAGCGCCGTGGTTTCCTTGCAATAGTTGAAAAATATGTGATACCCAAGTCCTGACTGACAATGGAAATCACGATATTTTACGCCATTGCAGTGGGGTGCTTACTGACAATGCTCTTTCTCATTCGCATAGCCCCCTCCTTTCTGAATCTACTCGGAATTTTGTCGTTCCTCATTACGAAACACTTAACATATCCATACTTGTGGGGTCGCCATAGGCTGATTGCTCCTTGCACTCGAGCAGATGCCTTATCATATCTCGCGTACGCTGTAACAAATGTTTTTCTTGTTGCCTTCAAGACTCCGTCAACAACAATGGCAAGAGACCGCGCCGGAACCCTTTCAGTGATCAACATGAGTTTCCTGTTCTTGGCACACCATCTGGGATTCCTTGCAAACGCCATGGGTGTTTCTTTGATGGTGTGCAAGCGCATCCATCGGGCTGTGGGTTGGATGACTGGAACTCTTCTTGGTTTACATATCATCATGGCAATGATAACTGATCGGAAGAGCTGGATACTTCGCGAGAAGCCCAACCTCTTCGCATTAATTGTTTGTCGTCGCTCTCACTCAACCTACCCTGTCAGATTAGTAGCGCTAATCCTTCTCAGGGCTCTGTGATTATGGCCGCGATTTTATTGTCATCCTTCCCTTTCATTCGCCGTTTCCTTTACGAGCCATTTCTTCGACTGCACCAAGCCCTGGCCACAGCTTGCATGTATTCTGTATGGCGGCATCTACCATCCGGTACTCTGCTGCCCCGGCTGTATGTTTACATTCCGCTTGGCACAATGCTACTTGCATTGCTGGTCGAACTTTTCCTTTTCATCGTTAGGAACGGTGTCTTCCCCCCACGTCCCTATTCTCGTGCCTCTATCAGATGTGATCGGGTGCAACAAACACCGATACAGAGCAAAGAGGCAACACCGCTGAAAGTAAGGATTGCACTTACAAGGCCCCTACATGTCGAGGCAGGCCAATACATAAGTCTCTGGATACCCGCGGCAAGCCTATTCTCCTGGGCCCAGACACACCCGTTCATGGTGACATCTTGGTCGCCAGAAAAGCAGGATGTCCTGGAGCTTTTTGTTCAACCTCGAAGAGGGCTCACTGAAACTATTCACCATCGTACAGCCCTGGATGGCTATACTTCCTTGACAGCATTTGTTAGCGGGCCGTATGGAGTCAGCAAATCCGTAGACCATTACGAATGCGTCTTGGCAATTGCGACCGATTTCGGTATAGCAGGTGTCATATCTTATCTTAAAAAGCTCCTGTACGGGTACAACACTTGCACGTCACATGTGCGCCGGGTACATTTCGTGTGGGAGGTCCAAACATTGGGTAAGTTCGGCCTCCACGTTCAAAGAGCAAACCAACGATGCTGAATTTCTCAGATATTGCTGTTGCAGCCCAACCGCTTCTGAACAGCTTGTTAAGCGATGATATCTTGGATGATGGCTATGTGGGTTGGCTGTTCTTGTTTAACCATACTCGCGCTGATAATGTGATACAGATACTCGAAATGTCCTTTTTTGTGGCATCAAACCAGATGATAGAACATGGCAAGCCGTTTGGCCAGCATCGCCGCGCGACAGTTTTTAATGGAAAGCCTCGATATGATGAAATTATATCAGAAGAGGCTTCCGGGCGAAACATAAAACGGCTGCCAAACACTCATGAAGACCGCGGTGAGGTTCTGGTTATGGGTAAGTCCATCACCTTGAATAACAAACCAGACGCTAACTTCCTAGTATCCGCATCGCATGAAGTACGAGACCGTTTGAGAGAATTAGTTCGTAAACACCTCGAACAGAGAGTAAGGTTGCATGAGACGGAGTTTCAACCTTCATAACGAGAAGGGACCAATCTGTCAAGTGGGGGGAGATGGGGCAGGTGGGGCCAGTGAATGACCAATTGGCCACAGATTAAATAGAATTCACCGCCCTCCAGAAACAAGTTTAACCATTGCACCCGATCTGTTCTTCACCTTCACCGTAAACCGATTCATCAGTATATTCTCCGGTCCAAGGAACAGCGTATGCTCTATGCTTCTGTGATCAGTTCTTGTTTATTCCAGTCACGGCACAATTCAGGATTTGTAAACAGGGTGTACTCCATTTCCTGATCGGCTTCTGTTTTAATTCTCACGGTTTCTTAGAAAGCGATTCCGTTCTGACCATGACCTTGCTGTTGCGTTGACGAGTATTTTCATTAGGGCATGGCGACCGGCAAAATCTACTTCAACGATCCCCCCCTTTTTTTGGCGGGTTGGGAAAACTGTGGCCATGAGCGAAAAATCGTGGTCAAATGATTCAATTAATTGCCGTTTAGGTTGCGACACCTTTTTGGGGTCGCAACCAACACGGCTCCCAGTTGTCACCTTTCAAGATGCGCCTTTTGGGGACGCTAGAAACCCCTGTGTGCCATTGTTTATCTTATTTTCTGGCCATTCGCTTTATTCCTTTATTTATCCAGCTATCCCGAATTCAGTGTCTGTTCCTCTTCACACTTTACTTGACAGAACACGAGGCAATTCTTCTACTATCCAGACGTTCCCCCTTGAAGCCCACCATTGCGAGAAGTTGACCATTAATTTCTTAGTATCGCTGACCAGCACACGAATAATGGTATCATTTGACCCAGACACTTTAGTCTCTCATGGTGCCCCTGGACCCGATATTTCTGATGATGACCTTGTTGATTGGGATGCCTGGCTCACACCAGAGGCACTCCACAATGAAAAATATCTGGCTACCTCACAATGCAGCTTTATCAACATGGGAGACTGTACTGAGCGTCAGCATTTACTGAAACATGCCCCTCAGCTTCATTCAAACCTTCCAGAAGTCCCTCTGCCATCAGATGGGAGTTTACAGTTGACGCAGTTCACAGACAGCAACAAAGAGACAATGACAATAGGCCTCCAAACGTCAAGTCCAGGCGTATATGCCTTTGCGAAATGTGGAAACACAGAAATCCAACCCATCGTGATCAACGAAAAAGAACAACTCAACTATTCAAAGCCCCGTGAAGACAATTTCAGTGCTTTCAGCCTTGGGAATCACCACCAGAGAAGAGCCCTCACTTTACCGGATCTCAAGCTTCTGAAAGTACAAGAGATCGAAAGGGAAACCTTTCACAAATACAAGCCAGTCGATAACCGGACCCAGGCAGCTGAGTACGTTGACTGCATTCAAACAGTATGTCAGATTGCAACTGGCGAGACTATGAGCGCAAAACAAGCTCGAGACGTCGAAGACTGCGGTGATAGCTTGATCACAATTATACGATCCGACGGCCCGATTGCCTCGTTTAAGTCTCTTTTACTCAACTGTCACTTGTATACCTTACCTCGCGTTGACTTGACTTCGTCCCTGACGGCATGCGTGTCATATCTGAGGTACCTGAACTCGCTCACTTGTTCAGTTTCGAAGTCAGACGATATGAATCGCCGTCTTGCCCAGATTTGGATCCATATTCATTTCGAAAATCATGTCAATGATTTGAAGGAAAGTGAGAAAAACGGTCTTCCGCTTAACCGACAACGTCGGGCAATCCCTACGATCGCTAGAGATTCTATCTTACAGGCTTTTCATGGGAACCAATTCGTGCCCCAAAAAACAGATCGCGACTATTTGAGTGATCAATGCCGCTGGGGCGAGCGTTGGTGGAAAGCTGCTACTTGCATGGGACTTGGTGTGATTTTACTAGCCAGTGAAGACTTGGCAAATCAAATGTACGCTCATTTATGCCCTATGGAATGGTTGTATTGCTGACTTTGAAATAGAGGTAGAAGAACAGCTTTTCAGAACAAAATGGTAGACACGTTGGCCATTTATGTTCTCAATCGCTACCCAGCTCTAACCAGTCTTTATCGATCGTTTGAGTCTATGGCAGTAGACCTCATGCTTGGAGGTGATAGCGTCTTTTCCCAGGACCAGCTAAACATCATCCAAGAGGCGCCCGTGGAGAATGAAGCAAATTCATGCAAGCTAGAAAGATGGGTGGTTCCCAACCTCAAGTCTCTGTCTAGAATTGCTTCTTCCCACCTGATCTTTCTCCAGAGATTCTAAGGCCATGATTATATCTAGTAGGTGTTGAGTAAAACATATTATTTCACAATGCCTTCGTCTCTCTCTTGCTCTTAGACCGTAGGGAACCGTGCCCCAGAGGGAGGGCCCTTTTCCAAGTCGCAATTGCTGACTCAGATTTATCTCCAAATGACCCCCTAAGCTAACGTTATTAGATCATATCCTACAACCAATCCTTGTCTTCTCGATACGCGCGCTGGCTGGTGGTTGCGGATGGCACCACCTTCTCGGTCCTGTCCTTTAAATTCTTCAATAAATTCGTGATAAAGATCGTGATCTATTGGAGGGTTTCGGTCGGCTGTGGCCTCCCGACGGGCCGGTCATGAGTCAATCACGTAGTCACCATGAGTCAATCACGCAGCATGTATGAAGTCCCTTATGCGGCAGCCACGTCTCATTTTAGGAATGGCGCCTCATACCCATCTCAATTTCTCGGACGACATTCTGAGCCCACGATCTCCTTCACTCATAACTGGTAATTATTGGTTTTGTACCATGATATTCTGAATAGTTAGGGCCTAGCCGCCGTTTAAGGACCTACTGGGGAAAATATAGCATTTCTAGGTTCTTAGTTTCTTCTGTACTCAAGATTAGATCTTTACCGACAGCTCTTTGCTGAAGCACACGAGCTGATAGATTTCATTGTCTGGATGCACGCTTGATGCATTTACTGACAGCCTTTCCGACATGATTGAAAGTTACGGGTATATAATGGAACCTTTGAAAACCATGAGCAAGCCAATACTCACAATTCCTTGAAAGATATCGTTTCCTACTATCTCTCGTAGGAATAGAACATCCTTGCAGAGACTAAAACAGACCGAGCAAGAAGCATCAACTCTCCCACCAATCGACTTTCTTTGCGGACAAGCGGTTGCTGATAAATGTTAGTTTTATATTCGTCTACTCGTGACATGTTGGCTTGGGTACCTCTTTCAAAGATTCAATAGACTTTGCTGTCGAGAGGGCGGAAAGGAACCCAAACGCATCTGAGTCGACAGGCCAACGATCCACGTCATCTACTCCCACCATTCCATCATCTTTCACATACTTCTGCATGATTTCCATGGTAATGGAAGCGAGAGTTTTGATGTATACATTCTGTGCCTGACCCGGCGGACGTTCCACGCACATCTCCAAGCTGGCTATAGGGGATTAGAATAATCATTACGAAGGAGGCAATTGCCACTTACCGATCTTGATAACGCCATCTAGGCCGAGAAGAATATTCCGGCATGTCAGAGACTGGTGTTCTAATCCAGTTTCATTGAGGTAACATAAACCATCCAAAATCTGCACTGTCGTGAGCTTAAAATACTTGAAGTGTCAAGAGCCACACACCTGCCAAGTCATGGAAGCTAATTCCGCCTCCGTAGGATAGAGAGACCGACACCCCACAAGCTGCTCCAAAGTGAGCTGGAGGTCGTTGACGAGAGCGTACATGCATCCTTCATTTACGAAGCACTCTCGGGCCGTCAATACATTATCGTGGTCAAGGATATCATACAGCCGTCGCATTTTAGCCACGTCCCCTTTGGTGTACTCCCGAAGGGCTACTACCTGGGACGGACGGGAACGGCGAGCTGCAATGAACACCTCACCTGCCAGATTACACCTGAGTGTCCGACGATAAGTGTCCCAGGGTGATTCCTCCCTCACGATTAACCCGCGAGATGTACCTTCCTCGCACACCTGAGGTAAGCCAAAGAGTTTTGGGCCTCCACTCACAACCTTTCGTGTATGTTCGCTCCAGGGAGACGTTTTTCTCTTTTTTTTGTTGGAACTACTGTCCAATTGGGTGGGTGCATCAAGCTGGTGTGGCTGTTTGCTCAAGGGTGCCTCTCGTGATGGGTTATTCGCAAGCCGTTCTTGGTAGCTCTCGAAGTCAATCGCCGTGCAGTGCTTATCTTGTTTCGACATATTTGGGCCAGATCAAGATGTGCGGAAAGAAAATGAGGTGGAAACGTATAGCGCTTGAAGGCGAAGAGGCCTATTTATAATGCAATTGTATTAATGGAACTAAATTTGTTTTGAGGGCCACCCCCGGCTTTTGCAGTCACATTGGTCACCAGGGCGCTGAATCAGCTAGGTGGACCCTTTCTTCTGTGAGGCCAAGACCAGTTAAATATAAACAACCGATACTCTACTGCTACATATATTCTGCCTCACCAGCACCATGGACGAGTCTATATACACAGATCCTGAGCTGCAGATTCTGACAGAAAGGTGTCGGACTTACCAAGGAACAGCCAAGGTTAACATCAGCCAGATTACCCCCCACCCATCCATCTCGCAACATATGAACACAAAAAATGTGGAAAGACTCTGTGAGGTATTTGACAAAGAAGGTTGTCGAAGACTCGATATATACAACCACGTGAGCGCTGTTGTGTCAAGAGAGCATCTCCATGAGGCTCTTCAAGCAGGGCGAGTAAACGCCGCTGACATGATGACTGATCAACCGAGCCGCTACCCACACCTCCATTTCTCCACTGGTTCCATACAGTGCCTTCATGGTCAACATCGATTAAAGGCCGGAGAACACTATTTACCATCGATCGACCAATGGTGGACTGTTGACTTGTATTTGGATGGTAAGCCAGAAATCCACCACATGCTTTCCCGCAGTTTTGACAACCCCAAGACATTAGTCCCGATCTTCAAACAAGCCTTGTCGATGAATATTCCAACGAGAGAGTTCCAAGCGATGGTGAGATTTACCTGAAAGTTCGGCAATATCGATATGAAGCAAATTCACACTTCGAAAATCGATGGTTGGCGCGGCTGTCAGACAACAAAGCCAGGCGGCTTCGCGGACTTGAGTCTCATCCGAGCGTCCGAGCTGCTTTTGACTCGTTACTCGGCTTGCCCTCCTTGATGATACATGGAATGCAAATCGGATCTCTTCCGCAGGCTCTAGCTATTTGCTGCGATGAGGTAAGGTCGTCTGACTCTTAAAAAAACATAGATGCTGATTACGTTCGTAGGAGATAGTTCACGCGCTGACTAGGCTACGGCAATACTGGTCTTCACTCGTGGGACACGATCGTGCTAAGATGCTCAAAGTTGACCCTCATACGGTGGAAACATTGCAACTCCTGGCACCTGGAGTCTCCTCGAAGGATAGAACCACCGTGAAAGGTCTTGTATACAGTGGCGAAGTCTTTTCAAACTTCACAGAATCCGAGCGGACCTCAATTTGGAAGCGATTGAAGAGGACAGAGGGCATAATTCCATCTCTGTATACGTTTTTCAAAGATCTCTGGTACCTAGAATCATGTGCGAACTGCCTCAAACGGCTTATCATACCTTCCAGATCATTCCCCACGATTAGAGGCGCCACGCGTGCGGCCTTCTTGTCTTTTGATCCCACCCATACGCAGTTCTTGATACAAACATCTGAAGCTGGGTTTCGATCTTACTCGCGCTCCCAGGGGGACCCAGCGGAACTTGGATATCGACAACTATGGCTCTATGCTATGCGTCACTACCCGAAGTTATCCAAAAAGCCTCAGAAGAAAAATCCTACGGCGAAGCCTAATTGTGAGGTGGTGGAGCCTATGATACTGTATGAGATGGCTGTACTCGCAAAGAGACTTGGGTTTCAGTCGCCACAAATTGAGCAGCTCATCCAGCAGTCGCCAGATCGGCAAATTGCGAAAGATGCTCTTTTGAGAGCCCGTCGACCAGATCGTTATCGGTACAATAGGGAAGAAATTGAATCTCTGATCAACAAAGTCACCGAGTGCTTCTTGAGGGCCGTCCTTCTTGACCATAAGCTTCCAGTACAATTCGTTGGTGGAAGGGAATCCAAGAAAGAATCTCGATGTGGACATCCGCAAACCGAAGCCCAACTGCAAGATTGTCAGTTCCTTTTCATCGACCAACTCCATGGTGATTCCCTCCAAAGGGAACGAAAAGCTACTTCCACTTTGGTGAGGAGGAGTGTCTACTTTACCTTCTTCAGCAAGCTGTCAATGCCCCGTGAAAATAACGACACAGCGGGTAGATCTCCAACTCCAGACTTGCCAATGTCCCCGCTTTTTATTCCGAGCAATCGTTCGCCGCAAGATGAAGGAGGACGGGTTGGGTCTGCGGGTACAGGAGCCGGCCAGGATAGCAACTTAGAGCGGCAACGCTTGAAAGATGCACGCCGAGGGAGACGTCAGCAGAAGCAAGCGAAGAAGCTACAGAAGCAACAACAACGACAGCAGCGAAGACACCGATCCTCACGTGCCGACCGTCATTATGGCAAGGAAATCGCGCGCATTGATTCGGAAGGCAGCCGGATAGGAGAGGTAGTGGAGCCAGCATCCGAGACAGAATTTGGATTCGTTGGAAGTAGGGGTATAATAAGTCAAAATGAGCAGGGTATTCTTCACATGGAACCGGCCGAAGCCGATGAACTGGAGCACGGCGAGATTATTGAGGGGGATCATGATTTCAGCGACGATGAAGCATCAGAAGATAGTCACGCTGGATTTGGGTTCGTTCCCTCGAGACCTCCCTCGCCTTCTGTGGGGTCAAGGTATACCTCCACGGAACTACAAGTATCAACGGTCTCGCACGACCAACTATCCTTGATGCAACCACCACAGTCACCGGGAGAGTTTCGTTTGACATCTATGGCCTCTTTACCACCACACCCAGATATGGATTCGCATGAGAGGCAACAACACCTCCTCGCCGCTGGATTTGAAGATCACGGCTCTATGGCACCAACGGGCAAGGAAAACAAAATCCTCCGCCTTGCTGATGCCGAGGACGAGCAGCCGCGGGGAGGGGGTGAGGAAAACATAGCTGGGGGAGAATCTTCGATAGATGTCAATATGGAAGAGCACGCAGGCGAACAAGAGAATGAAGCGGCAGAAACAGCAGCGCAGCTTTCTTCATCGGAAGAAATCGAAAAAGCACTGGCAATTTTAGAGGGACGTGAGGCATCGGAGATAACATCGGGCCCCTCTAGGACTGTGGGCACCAAAAGTGTGGCGCTGCGAGAGAGCGCTAAATTCAAACCATACGACCGTACGCAACGGCGCCAACAAACCCGCAAGTTATCCATTCCGCCACAGGAAACTCTGGAGCAGGATATAAACGCACTGTTACGAACGGCTGATCAGGAACAGACAGCAAGACCTGGTACTCAAATTGATTTCCTCGAAGCACAGCATCATCCTTTGTTGGAGATGAATGAAGAGCAGAGTCCATGGCCCGTGGCTAGTCAAGTTGGCCTGACTCAGGACCAGCAACAGGCACCGGAAGAAAGATCAGGCTTGGTCGAGTTCGAACCGCAGCCAGAAATTTCGAGCTTGATCGATCAGAACTCAGAACACCATGGAATAAGAAATATCCGATCGGAACAGGAAGAACGGTTGCCTGAGTCTGTTCCGCTGGACGCTTCGCCGCAGGTTCATGTTATAGCCGATGCTAAGCAGAAGGACACTCTGGTAGAGCGCCCCTCGTCGTCACTACAACGAGAGTATCCCGCGCAGACCGATACGCGCACACAAAAAGAAATAGCTGGGTCAGACAAGTTGCCAGAGGAACAAGACGAGTCTCGTGAGCGAGGAGAAGGAGCGAGCGATGCAGCCAAGCATTCTGCAGTGACAATCATGTTCCGTGCACGTGATGAACACGGCGACTGGAATCGCTTGGTCCACCAAATGGTGGTTGATCCATCTGACCCCTCTCCTGTTGGGCGAATGGCGTCCAAAAACGCGCGAGAACGTCAGGCAACGTTTTATGACCAGAATTTACGGCAGGTCCCACCGGGGCAGTGCTTTGATGCGGCGATTGAGGATGGCACGAACACGATATTCATGACATTCGGCGACGATCTGGTTGTGAGTGAAGAGGCGGTGAATTCGATCGCACGAGTAATTGAACCCGGTAGTGATGATGATCTGCCGACAAAACGCCGGCAGTAGGCGATGAATAATGCACTTGAGATCTAGATCAAAATACTTGTGTCCCATATAGACCGTAGTCAGAAGACCGAGGACCCTTATGGTCACTAAGCCAGGGTGGCCGCCAGTTGACAGCTATAAAGCCCACCTAGACTAGGAGCCGTGGACGTACGTCCAAAGTGGGTCCACGTCCACTGCCTTCCATCGGTGGCCTCGAATCAACTGTGCTAGGTCACAGTGCCTAAAGCCAAAGCCTTCCCACCACAGCTTCCCAACCACGGACCCACATCTCCGGACTTAAAGCCTGCCTGGACGCAGTTCCACAGATCTATTACATGACTGGCGTTAAGGCAGTGGATTTGTGTCTTTGTCGGCCTGGGGACAACATAGGCCAGAAAACACTCTTCCTCCATCTATGGAAGCGCCATGTCCCAGCTTTTTAGTTGAATCCGTCGTAAAGCTCATCTAGCCTCGATTTCTTGGTAAACGTCCCTATAGGGGTTCTTGAACCCTCCAGTTTGATACCGAAGGTAGGACTGGATACGGGCGAGCCTCTCACACCAAGATCAATCTCAACCTCTACCCAAGATACCCCTTTTCCAGCTAGCAAATGACGCAGGTAGCGGGGCTGGGCGTTCCAGTGGGGTGAAGGAGACCACGAAAGAAAGATGATCAAATTCGTGGGCCTTGCTCCAGCACGCTGACTCAGCGTCCTGGACCAATCACATTGAGGTAGCATGTAGACGACACATTTCTTGTTAGCCACTGATCAATTATTTAAACTCATGCTGCTCACTTCTTCCGATGCTCCTATATATAGTGCTGCCTCGAGTTTAATTGATAACACCGACGAAATATCTCGTTATGATTCAAGTACGGCCAGAGTAAGTACGCTTTCCTTTCCTCTGGAGGCGTTATCTAAAAACACCCAGTCACTTTATCTCCCCCCTCGCATACCTAGAGGTTGGCCCCAACGGGAAGAAATTCGCTGCGCCTAGCGGGATAATCCAAAGCCTCCGGTGTCGTTACAAAAGTTCGCCCGAAATAATTTATATGGTTGACGACGATGTTGAGGATATCTTTGGCCATATCCTTCAGTACCTTCACAGTGGGGACTACTCTGTCCTTATTCTAGCAGCCGATAAATCGAGTCATGCTTCATGCGAAGATGAAATCGATATTGTAACGTAGGATCTACTTCCCTTAAAAGAAAATTATTTTGCGAGTCATAAAGATATCCAGGTGAAGACCGACAATTCGATATCTTTGCTATATTATGGAGATGGAAACCACCTATGCAAATATCCTAAGATACTGCTGGTGCATGCTCGTTTGTATGACTTCGCTACTAGACATGGATTAGACCAACTTCGAAATGTGAGTTTGAACAAGCTTTACTAGACTCTCTCGGAATATCCGTTAGATTCAGAACAAGCGGACGCAATCGTCGAGCTTTTACGGGTTGCCAATAGAATAGGCACCATCTATACGCTAATGATTCACTATATATCATTATACCTAAAGACTTTCATACGTTGTTCCAGTTTTCTCTCGTTCTTAGAAGAAAACCATTATGTCAGCTTCCACTTATTCAATCTCTTATGTGATTCCCTATGAGCCTTTATTCTTTATAGAAGGGCCTAGAGCGCTGAAAGTATCCTAGGATATTGAGATAAGATCACGTGCCCCTAGGTACGTAAGACACACCCGGGGAATTAATTTTAGTTATAGTAGTTAAGCTAGAAGATTTGCCTCGCTTGGTTTCCTTATAATACCTTCTTCAGCCTTCTCCAGGTCTTGATCCATAATTAAAAATGGGGTCGGATAATAGGAGGCCTAGAAAAGTTAGTCTTGGTCATATGACTCGTTTCTGCCTACATACTAGTTGCGACCTAAGAAATCCCCAAAATCCCGAGGCATCCGCCGATAGGATAAACACTTAGCCCGTTTCCCGAAGGCGAATCCCGACGTAGATGTCTGCTTCACACAACTTACTATATTCGTGTGCCTTTTTCATCAAATTGGATTTGCGACGACCTTGTTTTTGACGCATTGATTTTCTTTTCGAAGAAGAGCCATTTGAACGAGGGCCTATAGTCGCCATCTGCTAGTCTATAGCCTAAAATATGCCTCGGGACTCTAGTATTAGACTTGCTGGAAAGTAAGATTAAGGGATAAGGAAGTGGGTGCTCTTATATTCGTATTCTCGTTGGCTAGGGAGTAGCTTTTAAAGAACGTCAAACGTTATGAAAGCACGAAAAGCGCAAAAGCGCAAAAGTGCAATGGCGGTTTTTGAACATATAACCATGCCAAGCCCACCAACACACTACCCGATGTTGGTGGGCTTGGCACGGTTAGTAAGACTTTAATCTAGCAAACAAATCAAACCACCAATTCAAGCACCAACAACAGCACTGACGATAGCCCAATCGACTGCAAGTGGGGCACAGGATCTTCATTGCCGATAGAGTAAGACTATTCTGAACAGTTTCGTGCTACGTGGCCAGGCTGCCCACAACTAAAACACTGACCATTCTGCCTTCGCTCCTCAGTAAGTTGACGTTTAACAGCGATCGCTTTCTCTGCCATCTTTTCCCACGTGTCAGGAAGCTCCCCTAATTGACGAAGACCAATTTGCAATTCTTTTTTAAGGCCAATGAAGAAAATGGATGCAATAAATGTCTCCCGTGTGATTTTGCTTCGGAGCTTCAGGAATTCGGAAACGTAGTCAGCTGCGCTCCCAGTCTGTACCAGACATTGAAGCCGAACTGCTGCTTCGATTCCAGCAAGGGGCTCATTCGATGCCGACATGTCTATTGTCATGCTAAGAGATATTTCTTAGGAAATCAAGACCAGAATACCAGCATGACATCTATCGCGCCGCCAAGCTCTACTAGCCGACCCCTGTCCGAATGCTTTTTCTCGTGTCGCTGGGAAATTACCACCGAGCCGCCCACCACCATGAAGTCTCCTGCCGAGTCCCCGTCATCAACCGGGACAATATGCGCCAAACCCATTACTCCTGCCGTGGGTGCACTGCCATGCTCACGTACAACAAGAGTGAACGAATCTCCGACAACAATATGCGGCTGATGCGACTTGATCCCGCCCTCGACAAGTATGAACGCTCGTTCGAGATCTTCCGTCGCGCCTTTCGTGTGTGGACTGAGGCGGATTTGATTGAGCATATTCGAGCCGAATGCATTGCAGGTTGGATCTTGCTGTATTTTTGAGGGTCAGAAACTGTAGTCCTGAGTGGCTTTATAGCCCTGGCTGCAAGAAGTGATGACAGCCAGTGGTGGACGGGGGAGCTGGAGAAGGAATGTATCGTGGTGACTCTTGGGGGCGTTTTGTGTTCAACGGAGCGTTGGAGGGTTCGAGGATTTTGATTTGAATGGATCGTGAAGAGATCTGGTTGGTTTTGGCGAACAATGTGTACTTTGGGCTTCCTACATAGGACAATAAAAGTACATAGCCGACGGCAGTTTGCTCAAGTGGACTGATCTAAAAGGGATCGATGGCTTCCATACAAAATGATAGGCCAGAAGCCCCCACCCAGTAAACGCATCCATGGATAAACGAATTTATTACTATATATATTTATCTGTCCTCCCCTATCGTTTCCCATCCAAGAGTGCTAGCAACTCGCCATTCCCGACAACAACTATCACCGAATAATAGAACAATAAGACATTGAAATCACCCTACTCATTAGGCTGCCCAGATGATTGACCTCCTTTCCGGCCTGCCTCTCTGGCCCTCGGGTCTCCAGGCTCGAAGCTTCCTCCTGAAGCTTGACCGCCTTTCGAGGCAATGCCATGCTGTATAGAGTCAGTCTGTTATCGTATATACAATAGGTGCTTCTACGAACCTGCTTGTTCGAATCCATGGAAGCGAATCCGCTCTGGTGGCTAGACTGCCCACCCTTGCGAGCGATATTCTCAACCTCTTCGTGAGGTCGGTTGGCGAAATTACCAGGGTTGGAGTTGTCGGACATAGTGAAGGTATGTCAAGGTAGTGTTTTTGTTTGGTAGTGTTGTGCGATTGCTTGGATAATTGCAAGATAGCTTGAAGGCACAAGAGGTCATCCGAGGGGTAAATTAATCGCTTATTTATGTGCGTCGCCAAGCTTGAGCTATTCATGATCTGAAGTCACCTTTGACGTCAGTCTACTTCGATTGGATATTTCCATCGCCACATACCAAACGCATCATTTTCAGATGACTTCAGAGGCAAGATAAAGCAGGGCAGAGTGAATGTGTGCTTGATGAGGCAATGCCAATGCCAAGTTTTCTTGTCTCTTGCTTAGTTTTGGGACCGGGTCAAAACTTGTTTGTACGAACGACACGTCACTATGAGTTACATACAGTTCGATCTGTATCTTTTCATAGGCTGGCCATAGGCTGACCCGAAGAAAGGAGACTAAAAGCATGGAACAGTTGATGCATGGATTGCGCGACTGACCGGTTTTCTATATGCTTCCTATTGCTCGCGGTGCTGGTTTGACCGGCGCAAGTTGAAGTACCGGTACAAAGGTAGGGCCAACGATATTTTTTATCGCTGCATTTACGTTTGATGATGGTTTTGTATAAGCGGTGGATCAACTTCGTACATCAATAACGCGTATAGACCATTCTCTATCAAGGCACTACGCACTACAGGGACCGAAGTACAAAGAAGGATGAAGAGACTTGTGTAAAGTTGTATGAAGAGAGAGAAACGAGAGCGAGCTTCAGACTAGCACACCTGGGGTGGATCAGGGCACCCGACTATCGACCTAATCCTAAGGCCACAGCAATAGTTCGGCTATCCCATACAAAGTAGTGGAAAAAGCAAATCACGGCAGATCTTCACCTGGACCCTCGCTGTACTTGTTCGAGGTTTTAGGCTTTGCGTGACGGAGACGGTCCCCCCTCAAGATGTTGGAGTTATCGATCGCCTCTTGTTCGTCCTCCTCTAGACGATGTTAGCGGCCTTCTAATTACTATAGAATTGTTTTAACAGAACATCAACTTACCAAGCTGCTGATCAGTATTGGAATAAGGAGGTTGCATTGGATCGTCAAATTGCTGATTGTCTCCCTGAACAGGGACTTGACCTTTCAAGTTTGGGTTGGTCTCTTTCGCATAGGAGTCATCTCTGAAGGTTCCGGCCACGGGCGAAGGATCATTCTCCCTCTCGTAGTTATCTTCTGCCACTCTCTCGGTACGGTTCGACATCTTGTGGTTGGAGTAAACTGTGTGGAAACTTTTAAAATTTCAAAATTCGATCAATAACCCCAAAAATGAGGAAGACATGTCCGGAATATATAACGGTTGTTGGACGGAAAACCTGTTGTCAAACCAGTCATTGCATGACCAAGAGGTTGGTCGTGCTACCTGTTTCCAACTATTATGACCCATGGAATATGTAAATTCAAATCCTGTTGGTAAATATATGTCGCTTGCTTCAGAACGGAGGGTGATGACAGGTGAAGTCATGGGTCACAGGCTATGGCTGCATCAGCTATTGTGAGATCATAGGCCGTAAGCAGCGGCTGCTCAACGAGAACGCTTGATTTGTCGGGTTGAGAACTCATGTTTATCGCCGATGACCGACGACTTTTATATTGGATGGGGATACTTTCTAGGTGTCAACGGCTCGAGATAGTCCAATGTCGAATTTTGGTGTCTCGAAGCTTAAGACCACGAAAACTAGTATCTTAACTGGATATTATAAACGGCCGATACTAATTCCAATTAAATAACTAGATATCCCTCAGTCTATACATGAAAGCATGTAGTCAAGCCCTTGACATGGCGTAACCGTGTATTGCGGTGCATGAGTACTACTAGAGGATTTCCAAGTTGGGGAAGTTGGATGAACAAGATCCGCTCTCGCTCTATAGAAATAATTCTGTGCCAATAGATCACATGGATATCTTAATTCATAAAGGTGATATTGGAGTGTCGATTGAGTTCTTTCGGCTACTTTCATAAATTCCTGATGATTCGTGGTTTGCACAACCGATGATCGAGTGTACAACATATTCACCAATCTAAAACAGTAGAGAGAGCCATTGAAAAGAAGGAGTTCAAAACAGGTAAGAAATAGATATTAAACTAGGAAGTGCTTGTATTGTCTTAGTTTGATAATGACGTAATTCCGGATGACGTCGGTCCCCAAAGTTATAAAATCCCAAGATCGCATTGATTCGACGGATATATATTTATATATTACTTGTACAGACTGTGAATAATTGCGACATTCGTACATATGTTGGCTTTCGACTTGAGGTATTCGATATGACGATTTTCGTCGCGTCTCTGTATGTGGTCATGGGTTTTCCTCGCATACGTATCTGATACAAATCGCCATCTAGTTTTCTCCCTTACACTGTGACCCGAAATTCATGCAGGTCTGAAATTCCATCACCAAATCCCCTCCTGCCTCAGAGCCTTAACTCACCACCGAGTGGAGGTAATGGTGAATTCAACAATGAGGCACTGCATGGAATTGACTTGACCCCGGATGCCACCCCAAACCACAAGCACATATTTACTTCCGATACACCCCTTCCACCAAAGAAGGGTATGGGTTATCCGTTTTTCTCAAAACCGCAGTTAAATGGTGGGCCACCTACAAAAGGCGCGCCTCAGTGGAGCATTATTCCTGCAACAGAATTCAACGATGGCTTAACAAGCGCTATACGTTCCGCTGAGGATATCGGCTACCTCAAGGACACAATGTGGGTGGGCACGCTCGGAACACAAACGGAGACAATGGAGGACTGTGATCGGATGGCCATTAAGCAAAAACTCAAGGATGAGTATGGGTCCTTGCCCGTGTTTGTATGCGACCGTGACTTTGATGGACACTGCACGCACTGCAAGACCATCCTCTGGCCGATCTTCCATTACCAGGTTCCCGATAGCCCCAAAAGTAAAGCCTACGAGGACTGCTCCTGGGACTACTATGTGAGGCTCAACCAGGCTTTTGCGGAGCACATTGCGGAACATTGCAAGATAGGCGATTCGGTTTGGGTACAGGACTATCACTTGATGCTGGTCCCAGCCATGCTCCGAAAGATGGTTCCCGACCTCCAGATTGGCTTTTTTCTTCATACCGCGTTTCCGTCCTCCGAAGTTTTCAGGTGCTTAGCCACGGATAAGGAGCTACTTATAGGTCTACTCGGTGCCGACTTGCTCGGCTTCCAGATCGACGAGTACTCTGGCCATTTTCTACGATCTTGTAGCAGAGTCCTTTCCGTTGAAGCTACCGACGAAGGGATTCAATTAAACGACCGCTTTGTCAACGTGGGTACATTCCCAATTGGCATTGATCCAACCTTATGGGATCGGCGAAGACAGCTAGCCGATATTAGGGTCTTGATCGACACTATCTTGGCTCGGTATCGTGGTAAGCGGATCATCATTTCCCACGACAAGATGGACTCTATCGGGGGGATCCGCCAGAAGCTGTTAAGCTATGAACATTTTCTTAACATATACCGGGAATGGGCAAACGATATCGTTTTGATACAATTAGTTACTAGCACTACACGGCAGCCCGACCTGGAAGCGACTATATCCGACATTGCTCTACGCATAAATTCTGCCTATACGACCCTTGAACATCAGCCCTTGATATTTCTCAGGCAGGACCTCTTGTCTGCACAGTACGTCGCACTTATCACGGTAGCAGACGTGCTGATAGTCACCAGCCTTCGAGAGGGAATGAATCTGACCAGCCACGAGTTCGTTTACTGCCAAGACGGGCTCTATAGTAATAAGGCGTACGGATCAATGATTCTCAGCGAGTTCACGGGTAGTGCATCCATATTTGGTGATAATGCGCTCCTAATCAATCCTTGGGACTTCCGTCAGTGCGCAAATGCAATACATACGGCATTAGTTCGGAACCGGGAAGAGCGAAAAAAGGCTTGGGAGCAGCTATACAGATCACTATTGGATAATACAGCAACAAATTGGGTTAAGTCCTTTAAAGAAAGGCTGTCTCATGTCTGCAGCAAACAGTTATCGCACCGAAGGTGCACACTACCGTGTCTTTCCGTCGACCGTTTAAAAGATCAATACCGACAGGCGCGCCATCGCATGATATTTATTAAATACGAAGGCACATTAGCACCCTGGAGACCCCCAAGTGGCGTCATGTTTCTTGTCACGCCCCAACGTGCAGTAACAACCTTGAGCGACCTGACAGACGATCCACTCACCGTCGTTTACGTGGTAAGCTCAAGAACACTGGGGGAACAGGAGCGACACTTCCGCCATGTTGCTGGTGTAGGATTGATTGCCGAACATGGGTGCTTTTTGCGTGAGCCGCACGCCACTGAATGGAAGAAGTTGGTGAGCGAAGGGCAGACGGATACGTGGAGAGAAGGGGTATTTTGTATCTTTGCATACTTCCATGAACGAATGGAAGGTAGCTGGGTCGAAATGCGCCACTTTTCGATTGTCTTCCACTTCGGTTCGGTGGCCGACACAGCAATGGCCAAGCGTCTCGCAGCTGAGTGTGCAGACCAGATTAATGATGCCTGTGCCAATCAGGGCATTCACGCTATTATCTATGAGTCTGCTGTGATAGCCGAGCCTATTAATACGAAAAAGCGTCCCGCGGCGGAAGTGGCGTGGCGCTACGCGGAAAGCTCCAACAATTCAAAGCCTGACTTCTTGTTGATCATTGGTGGTGACCGTGAGGATGAGGATTGGTTCAGGTGGGCCAATGAGATGGAGAGCACTGGTGCAGTCGATTACTCCATGACAGCGACAATAGGCTCACAAGGCTCTGAGGCTAAGACGAGGTTGACACATGGAGTGACAGGTGAGTCTAGTCATTCTATGAGATGTGATGTTGACTAACCTTAAAACTAGGCATTCTTGATTGCTTACAGCGACTGGCCTCCGACTAGGGGTAGACGCCCGGCATTGTTGCGAAGACAAATTACGGAACAGCAGTGTGGAGTCACTCACAGGAAACATTATTAGTTATGGCTAGATATTGTTATGCACGAGGTGGAATTACATTTGACCAGTGTCTTGGGAGCGGGACGGCCTGTCATGTTTGAGGCGTGCTCTATTTGGTTTAGTGGTGTTTGTTTCTGCGTGGCCAGGTTCTGCTCAGTCCTGCTTAGTGGGCAAAAGAACGGCAAAAGGCGTAAGCACAAAAACAGAATGAGAACGCCAAGAAGTAGCAGAGTAAATCTAGCATGTACAACACATTACATAAAAGTATTTGTCTCCAGAGATAGGACAGGAGATAGCAACCTTGGAAGGTTTGCGGCCCACCGCTCCACATTTACTCGCTTCCCTGAACATCTCGGCCCAATTCACTGAAACAGGGACAAATGCCGTACAAGCCTACGACATACAAAAGCAGTAAAGCCAAGGGTTTTGTCCAAGACCTTGGACTAATATGTCTTCACGAATCTTGCATATCACGCTATATTTTCGTATTTATCCGCCTCCGAAGATCGTCCACTTCCCCGCTAGTCGGCCTGTGGGTCTCCAGCTATCCAATGATACATGGAATAAGGCATAAGCACTGGGGCTGTCGCCGCAAGCCATGGATCGTCGGTTCGCGACTATCAAAGGCCTTGGTGGCCTGATAATCTTGCAGCGTTCTAACTGGTTGAAGTTGCCGCTCTCGGTCCGCCGGACCAGTCACAGACATGGCTGGTTATCGTATCCCTCAGTCCCGAAGTTTTATACCCCAAATCCGTTACATAACGCTACTCCGTACTCGCTTCCCCCGCGGGGAGACAACGGTAGCGGAGAAGTAAATTGGGAATATGAATTGATATTCGAAAATCTGTCGTCATGTGGTTTCAGCCGGGTCCTGCTTAAGATCCCTGTTTTTCCTTGTCTGATTTCTTTCTTTTCATCACTTGTTGCCTGTGGTACATCCTCGGCATGGACAAAGGAGAATACAATAGCGATGATGCTCAGCTGGCCCAGATGGGCCATAAGTCTGAGCTGAAGCGAAACTTCTCGCTGATGTATGTGCTACAATTGAACCACATTCCTGGATTGTGCTAACCTCTCTGTTCGTTCTTGAAGCTCAATGCTGGGTCTTGCTTTTGCCATTCTAAATGTATGTGATGCGATCGAAAGCTTACCAGATTCCATAAGAATCAACGATTAACACTAGGCAGTCACTGGCCAAACAATATTCTACCTGACATTTCTCTTCGCGGAGCTGCCCTCTCAGCTTATATCGAAATGGGTTGGCCCCGATCGCTGGATTCCCGTGTAAATGATAAGCTGGAGTCTCATCGCCGTATAACAGGCATTTATCTAGAACAAAAGCGGGTTCTTCGCAACCCGTGCTATGCTCGGTCTTCTCGAGGACGGCCTCATTCTAGACACCATCCTCTTCCTATCATTATGGTACAAGTCTAAGGAATTGACTATCCTTAGCAGAGTGCAAAAAGAGCGAAAATTACCACTATATATCTCTAGAGCCAAGGTGAGGGGTAATGCGGTGACACGTCCTAAGCGCCTTGCGGAATAAAACATACTTTTGGGATATATGATCTTCCCACGACTATGTGTTGTTTCAGGTCAAGACTCACACACAACATATATCTCGCTTTTACTATAGAATCCTCTTATATACTCTAAATGAACATTCTTGGGTCATACTCTTCCCACAGTTTGCATTCCCCTAGGTAGCCGTATCCTTACAAAATGCCGCAATTATCTTGGCAGATTTTCGGTTGAGAAAAAATACGTAAGCATTAGAGCACTAACGGCCCGAGACGCTGATAACAAGGTGATGTATATGCTGGCAGGTGCGTTGGGGATTTGAAGCCCCACTCTAAAGTTAGGAACGTTATCATTAGCCAGGGGTACCTCTAGGTATGATATATATCCTTAACCGTAGTCATCTCCGCAGTGGGTTCTTATTCGACTACACTAGGAATAGCGAGATGCTCTCCCGATGTAACAGTGGCTTATAGACGGCGGTTCTCAACCACCACTATAAAATTCAGCTACCTACTATTGTGCAGACCTCCTGATTGCAGCCAGGACCTATTGGTTCCTATACCAAATATTCAGCCGCACTTCGGTCCATATACGAATCCCGAATAGTTCAAGGATAGCAGCTCTAACGTTCCTAGAACATATGTTCCTAGGACGTGATAAATTTCTAGATAAGAAGATAAGAGCGAGGAGAAAATAATAAGATTTAAATTTTAAAGAGCTTTATTTCTAAATAAGCCGGAATAAAAGATCCCTTTCAAATTTGAAGTTTAGAATATTTGACCTTTTGGAAAATTATAGCGCGTAAATTTGAAGAGGCTATATAATTTAAGTGACCCTAAAATTAATAGCCCGAAATTTTCGAGCCCTGAGAATATTCTATTATCTAGAATATTATATGCCGATAATTTTCGACTCTGGCGGTGTTAACCGGACATAGGAAATTGGCGTAATGGTTATAAGGCGCAAAAGCGCATTGTGGACAAGGTGCATAAGCATAAGCGTCTTCTACAACATATTTAATATTTCACTCTTTAAGTTCGATTATCTCACATTACCTCTATTGCCTCATAATGGGACTTCTTTCCAAAATCGCCCGGAAGTTGGGATTTGTGCGCGGTTATTTAGCACGCCATACTAATGGACAAACACGGATTATCCACTCTATCTAGCCACCTCATGAAATTGTAAAAACAATAGAATAACCCGGCGATTTCGGACTAAATTTAAGAAGTAGAGTGATAAGGTTGAGCTGTTAGACGACGTTGATATCGAAAGAAAATTGAAAATAACCTGAGCGTTCACGACTGACACGGTCCCGACCCTATCCTTTAGTTGTATACTATATACTTCATAGTGTTCGCAAACTATAATCATTCCTAGGCTAATAAAAGAGGATTTCGAGTTGAATCACCAAATACGTCGAGCTTATATTAGAAAATACATGCACATCTATCCTGCAAATGGATAGCATTTGATAAACCCCGAAAAGCTTGCTCTACAAAAAGGGCATGCATTTTGATTAAGTCGTTCTGCGCATGTCTCACAAATCATATGCCCGTATAGTAGAATATACCAACAATCCGGCTGCTTATAGCATATTTTGCAGTCTAGAATGCGTCGCCGGGAAAGCTCCTCTTGATGCTGGTTTTCCTATTGGAGAAGCTTGCTTTGAAGTTCCTGGACTTGCTTTTGCTACTTTTCAACTTCTTACTCGAGATTTTCAACCTCCTGATCGAGTTTTTCAACTTCTTGATCTCTTTCGTCAAATGTCTTACGCAGTCTCTTAAAACAGGTATCCTAGTCCATCATTAGCTTAGGAAATCGGAGTATCTTAGGAGGGAAGGTTCTACCAGAGTGTTAGGTTGTTTTCTCTTAGCCCTTTTGCGTTTGCGGGATGGTTCTATGCTACCACTCGTAGCATCGTTTAGTTCAATTGGGGTCTTAAGAGATATACGTAGAGACGTCCTTTAGGCCTATGAATTGCCTAACCGCCAGCTCGGGGGTAGTTCGTCATCCTCAATAAGAATCGTGCTTGAAGGGCTAGTCATCGTAGCTTTAAAAGAAGAGACGGCTAGTGCTAGGTTGACTAGGTAGGAGGAAAGTAGAAGTTTGACTAAGTCAGAGTTAGGGTATAAGGGTCATTATATACCAGAGAGCTAGCAGCTCGAGTGGGCTACTACTAAGAAACGATTGGACACTACTTTGCGTGATTTATCGTGCATATATATACAACCCGATTAGATTGCACAAAACTAAAATAGTATATATAAAACGTTAAGTGCTAAGTCGGGTATATTCATGGCCGGTCTATTCTTGTTTTTGAAGTCCCTGTATCGGATTTGAGTATGGCCAGCGACTCCGCACGCGGTATATATTAGAAGCATGGCGTTGGAAAGCCATTCGATATAGCAAGCCTACTTCACACTAGTTATATTTAAGGGGTTTTTCTTTAAGATAAATAGCATCGAAGTGGCGTATAATATACCCGGGATCGTAAAATATCGGAAAGCTAACCTTGTCCGGAAGCCCTTCACTTGCGAAGTATTGTAAGTATGCCTCTAGCCGCTTAGCAGTTTCAAGGTATTCTCTGGCGGCACGAAACGGCTTGCCATATACAGGGACTATAAGACCGAATAATAAAGGAAAGCACCCGGAAACGGAGAATCAAAAGAGTTTATATTCATCAATATGTGTGTCTACAAGCTCCTAGGGTCGGCTTGTACGTTACTGGAGCCACTGGGGCTGTCTCTAGGATCGACTTCCTTTAAGGGTGAATTAAGGAATTTGAGAGGCAGTTTCATATATAGGCCCTATCAACTTTAGGGACGTATAGGCTAGCTCTAGGAGCTTCGCTACTCCTAGAAGCTCAAGCCTTTCCTAGAGGTAAACTATTAGTTCCCAGGCTCGAGCAAAGTGCCCCTATGATAGACAAGAGTCCCTAGGGCTAGTATGCGTACAGCAAAATGAGACACGGATCACCCTAGTTTGGAAAAATAAGGAAAATACCGATCCTAGAATCACTTCCGTTGATCCTAAGATGACTAGTGGTTGCCTCTAGGAACTTTACGTAGGGTTCTAGGAGCAATATAGCTCCTAGGAGAGGTGGTCCGTGTTCCTAGAGACAAACTTTATACTCCTAGGAAGCCCCGCGTATATAGCGGGGGAACCTTCTCTACGATTATGCTCCAGGAAAACTTTAATGTTTATTTTTAATTATCGCTTCTAGTCATACTATCGGCCTCTAGGAGCTAAACGTCCTCCGGGAACTAACGTAGCACTTCCCAGGAGGCATAGGGATCGTACCGTAGAATTCTACGGGGGAATGTTAGGGATGATATATATATATATCGTAGATAGCAACTTTGATATTGTACTTCTAGGCCCCGACACGCCTAAGCTCCTAGAAATCAACCTAAAGCCCCTAGGAACAATACTTTGTTCGGGGGAAATTTAGTTAGTTCCTAGAGCCACCAGCTTATAAGCGTGACGTATAACTTGCTAGCGTTTATAGTGCATCACTATTGTGTAGAGCTATATAGGAGGGCCAGACTACTACTAAAGACGGGAGCGTGGACGTTTACTCGAAGAGTGGAAACGGCCAAGGATAGAGTTCTTAAATTTGACTGAAAACCTATAAGCCTCCCAATTAATCGGTATTAATGTCCGATCCCGTATCTTCTTTAGCGTAGTAATTCCGTTCAGTACTAAGGCGATAAACCTCTTCTACATGCCTGCGAAGATACATCTTATATAGTCCGGAACTAACCATAGCTCAGGAACGCCAGACGCGCTCCTAGGCCCGGATCAAGTGATCCTAGAAACACCCCAAGAACAAAGTGTCCTCTAGGAACTCTAAGTCTGATCCCTAGGAGCGACTAAGAGCGTGCCTAGGAACCATACTATAGATCCTAGGAATAAGAGTCCTAGTAAACGGGTCTAGAATACTTAAAATTTACTTAAGGGTTTACTATTCCTAGCCCTCCTTAATACATTTGATTTCGCTATTGCGATTGAGAAGAGCATGTTTAGTCATCTCCTTAGAAGCCAAGGCAAAGCAGGTTATATAACTAGTAACATCATCGTATCAGAAGCAGGAAGGTAACGATATAGATTATCTTGTAAGAAATTCTATCGTAAAGACATCGATGTACTCACGAATATATTAATCGTTAGATCACGTCTATCGTAGGAAATACAACGGTTTCAACGCTATATTGCTGTTTAAATAAAGCGTTTCTTTGGGTATTATTCACGCACTTTCTTAGCAACTTAAAATAAGTAGAAACTTGCGGGACTAACAAACTTTTTCCCGAGGTACTTCCATTAAAACAATCTGCATCAAGCCCATATAACACAGAAGACATTGTAAACTTTCCCGAAATTTTATTTATATCTACACAAAGTAAGCGGCCTGATATATCTATGGCAACTTTGACTATGCGATTAGATATTTCGTAAGCGTGCTTATATATCATCATGCCTTGAACGCGATATACTGCTATATCTAGATATGGATTATAGGAGCTGGGTTTTCTTCTAGTGTAGGCCCGGCATTTAGTCGTAACTAAATAAGATAAAGGTTCTGGCGTTGTATCCTTATAGTGAAGGAAGTCCAATTGTTCATGGCCTTCATACTCAACTAACAAGGCTGCCGGACACCGGTAGTACCAAACAAACATGTGACTACGTGTCAAGTCTAGTTATTCCTTTATAGATAATAAGCGGAGTTCAGAATATATCAACCAAACTTTTGACTCACATAATTTACCCTTATATATGCCACGTCGTCATATTAGGCACTTCTAACCGTTGCTTTAGACTGTAGTGTATCAAGGACAAATCTACTTAAGTTATCGTCCTCGTAGGGGCCTTCTAATAAATCTTTGGACTCTGAAATCCCTGACCTAATAGCCTCACTTGAATAAATAGGGTATTTAACTTCAGCTTCGATGGCCTTAGGTGATTTAACATTGTTTTCAATATGCTCTAGCCCGGGCTCAGGGTCGGGTGCGAAGCTGGCAGATGGTTTCGCATTACGCGAACGGTACTTTGAACAAGTATGTTTCTTTCCTTTTCCTCCCATGATTTTAGTAACTAAAGATGGGTGGGTATATCTTCACTAAATTGAAGTATAAGAATCTGCGGAGGTTGATTATTTTATTCTCTAAGGGCTACAACTCTGTTCACTATATCGATTACGACACTACTTGATGCCTAACCAATTAACAATTGGCATGAAGCAGACTTTCGGGGAATTACTCTGTTTAAAGTATAACATTTGGTCCTTTGTATCATTGATTTAGTCCTAAGTCATAATATATAATTATCCACTACAGAAATGCTTTCGGAGTCGGCTAGCGTTCGAATGCTTCTTCGCATAGAAAGGGCATACTCGCATATAGGAAGCGATTCTAATCTCTGCATTTTCCTTAGGCCAATGCTGGTAGTCTGTCTGATATGCAACACAATCGCATATACGGTGTATATCTGTCGTATTTTCCATATGGCTGTCACGACTGGGAAGGACTGGGAATGATTGGGGTCGATTGAGAACGATTCGGGACGATTGAGGACGATTGGGGACGATTGGGGACGATTGAGATAATGGCTCTAAAGAGCGGTTCATACAATAAATTTAAATCTAGTAGGTGTTAATTAGTAATATCGATGATAAGAAGCTAATAAAAGCACAAACGGCTTCGTTCATACCGCGTATTTGCGCAAACTATCGCGTCTATATATAGGGATACAGGAGAGTAGTGCTTCTCTACCTACCATATTAGGTTAGATTGTATTTTTCCTATCTATACTGTAGTTAGGATAGATTAAGAATCTAGACAAGTGTTCCGCTTCCGAAGATCTATTCCTATTGGTTGCCCACGCATACTCGAATTATGTGTGACTTGACAATCCTTGTAGACCGTTAGATACGACACAGCATAGGACTACACAACAATTCACAGAATAACTTCGAAAAAGGTGGAATACAATTTATGCGATAGGGCACTTTGAACATTCTGATTAAACGTGCTATGAAATATCTGGAGTCTCTAATATGACCCTCACATAAAATGTAGTCAATAGTACAAAATGTGCCTTTGTCGCTGAAAGGACACCATCGAATGGTTGAACCGCCTAAAGAGTTCTCACCGAAACCTTCCACCCCAGACGCAACTTCTTTCCATGCCCCTTGTGGATTAGTTTCCACTTAAAGGTAGACATTTGAGTCATGATTGGCCAATTAGTGAAGAACAAGTTATCATAAATACACCTAGCTACGTGTAGAGTAAGGTTCTGGGTAACTAAATGCTTCCAAGGGCATCACTGGCCAGCCAACAACCTCAATCTCCGAAGGCCCACTGTGGGGACCCACCCTTCAGCTGATAATCCAATGATGAATCAGACACAAAAGGGCCCGACGAAGAGCGCAGGCGACACAGAAGGCTACACGTCATATTTCAACCAGGCACTATAATGGATTGAGGCTATGGGTCGGACGGATGCTGTTGGGAACGTACTGGGTTCTTATGGTGAGAGTTAAGTTAATTCAGTGCTTGGAAACCATTACATAGCTGAAGGCTTTATGGTCACTTCGAGGCGATAAAATAATACTACGAGTACAATATTACTGTACTGTAATAAAAGTGCTCTGTTCGGGAATTTCTTACAATCGTGTGGCTGTTTCCTGGTCTTCTGAATCGCAGTCTGTCATGTGACGTAAAGTCATGACGTCATATAATTATATCAATAGTTCCGTATCCTGGGATATTGAAATGAGATCACTTGCCCCGGGGCACGCAAGCCAGACTTGGCAAGACACACCCGGTGAATTAATTTCAGTTATAATATTCAAGCTAGAAGATTTGACTCGCTTGGTTTCTTCATAGTGCCTCTTCAACCTTCTCCAGGTCTTGATCTGTAATTAAAAATGGGGTCGGATAATAGGAGGCCTAGAAAAGTTAGCTTTGGTCATGTGACTCGTTTCTGCCTGCATACTAGTTGTGACCCAAGAAATCCCCAAAATCCCGAGTCGTATCCCGACGCAGACGTCTGCTTCACACAACATTCGCGTGCCTTTTTTATCAAATTGGATTTGCGACGACTCTGTTTTTGACGAGCCTCTTAACGCATCCCAAATTACCTGAAGACGAGACTGAAATAACCCGCTATCACGCCCTCTTTGAAAGTCCTTTTAGTTTCCTCTTGTGTGATCTGTCAAGTAATTACCAGTCCCGCGAGATTAATAAAGGTGCTCATAGAGGGTAGGACCTTCTGCCATCGCAAGAAATTCGGCGCCAACTATCTCCAGTTCAGACCAAGGATACCAAACGGCTAATGAACCCTGACGAGACAGGCACTTCTAGCCCTCGAGATGACTTGGACATGACAAACAATGAAACGCCAGCTTCCCAGGTTCAAAAATGGCATGACAGGCCTCCAAGCACCCTCAAGTCACTCAGCGCAGTGTCCGAGGCCTCAAGCGACCCGCTTACGGAAAGCTTTGTTCCGCAGCCCCTGATTGAAAAAATTGCCATCCCACGAGGATCAAACAGCGGACTTTGGACATCGAATGGAAGAGTAAGTCGAGCATGCGACACTTGCCGTGAACAAAAGGTCAAATGTAGTGGTCACCGGCCCGCATGTCAACGATGCCGCGAAGGCGACTTCACTTGCGTCTACACGGACCGAAAGCGAGAGCGAGAGGTCAAGTTTAGTGGCCCAGTCTCACAGAAATACTTGATGCATGAATGGCTGATACCCATATTTAGACAATCTGCCGATCTCATGTCTCAGGTTCGGATGTACGAGGATCTTCTACGCAATCTGCATCCTTGTCTCGAACGTCAATTGGCAATAAAAATTGAGAAAGCCATCGGCGTAGTAAGAAAACGGGATATATTTATTTTTCTGACAAGCATCTGACGATATCTAGCTCCCAGGCGCCTCGAGCACGACCCCCGATGGCCATCAAGCAAAGAGCAACCCTATACGACCGACCGATCATATGGTTGAGGACCTCAATCGTAATAGAAATACCCAGGCGGCAGGGCTGGTGGGCCGACCGTCGGAGGTAGCGTGGCTACATAGTCTCCAGTGTGAAATGGACAAGCACAGCAAACCTGAATGTCCGTTGGACAAGTCAGAACAGCCGCCACTGTTGTCTACCAATTACTTTCTCGACAACTTCCCAATGTCTATGGCCTATCTGAATAACTTGGCGGACTGGCCCTCCGAAGATGCTGCTAGTGAATTGGTGGAAAGTTATTTTCAGATCGTACACGCGTCCTATCCCTTTGTTGGAAAGTTGTACTTTTGGAAACAATTTCGCGCTTTTTATGCGAACCCCGGTAAGCAACCAGGCGGGGCATGGATAGCAGTGTTAAATCTGGTGTTGGCTATCGCTTCACGTCACAACTCTCTGATGAGGAAAGAACCGGAAACTGACACTGACGTACACATCTCATACTTCACAAGAGCTTGGCAGCTCTACATGAGGAACTCCGCTGTATTAGACCCCCCAAATCTACAACAGGTGCAGATCGAGTCCCTCATGTCACTATACATGCTTTCTATAGGTGATATTAATAGGTATGTGTATTCCAATGCCGCATCCAAAAACCGGGGATTGATGATGAGCAGGGCTTGGCGGATATGCGGCGTCGCAATGAGATCAGCAGTGGCCATGGGAATCCACCTTCGTAGTAAGAGTGAAAGCATTTCTTACATATCCAATGAGATGAGGTATCGTCTTTGGTGGGCATTGTACTCGCTTGACATTCAGCTATGCTCAATGACTGGACGTCCACCTAACATGAGCTTGGAATACTGTACAGCCTTTCTTCCAGCACCTTACCAAGAGGAAGACTTTCTAGAAGACCATGTTTCCCAATTCATTTCAGACGACGATACTCGGAAGGCTCTACTGGCATCTTTCATCTTCAGAGCGTTCAAATCGGACAGGAAAGGAGAACATGCAGAACATCTCCATCACCCCGCTATGAGCGACAATGACTCTCCCATAGCCTTGGCGCCAAATAGTGTTAAGCCCAACACATCGCTATACTTCCTATTTCGTTTAGGCTTGGCTTTCGTTGGAAGAGCTGCGATGGACGAAATACACTCACCTAGCACGGCTTCCCTTTCATGGGATGAGTTAGAGGCCTCAATTATCAGAAACAACGCATCTGCTGATAATTGGTTGGCTAATCTACCATTCGTCTACCACTTTGAAAAGTCATCGCCGAATCGCCCATTTGTTCGTCAACGCACTAGCTTGGCATTCCAATTTTACTCCATCAAGCTCGTCATCCTAGAGCCATGTTTGCGTCGTGCGATCAGGGTACCGTTTGAGGGCTCATGTAGCAAGCACTGTCAGATTATGGCCACTCTGTGCATGCAGGTAGCAGAAAGTGTCTTGAACCTTTTCCCGGATAAAGCGGATATTCGCTGGCTATACGGGTATTGCCCATGGTGGTCCATAGTGCACTATCTTATGCAAAGTTCTGCCATCCTCCTGATCGGCCTTGCGGGTCAAATCGACCTGGGGGCAATCCAAAACGCGGCAACGGTGAACAACATCAGAAAGGCTTGCGGATGGTTATATGAAATGTCCAAAAACGATCGTTTCTCCAAGCGTGCCTGGGGGGTCTATCGTGGATTAGCTGCACGTCACAACCCAAATTTGGTGCCTTTGTCAACTCTAAACACTTGACTTCATTCTCGATATGACCGAATGATAATCTGTCAGTATCTAGCCTTGCAATTGTAGAGCTGCGAATTTATATTACTACAGTGGTACAGTAGTTTTGAAATTCTACCAAGCAATTCTACGTGATGCATCGCGGTATTGTAAAGATGGCTTTAGTGAGCCATTACAGATACAGCGTGTGCGGAGGCCAATCATTTGCCTCCAAAATGTATGGGGCCCTAAAACAGATCATGTGATTGGATATCATGTGCGACTTGTTGCCACGTCACCTATCGCTGGGCGGGTCTGACATTCGATCACAGTCTTGACTAACGACAAAGTACAGACTTCCTCGCGTTCAGGGGAACCCATATACGGAGCCCTCTTCCATACGGAGCCTTCTTCCATACGTAGTTTTCTTCTAGGGTGACCACGAATTGCGGATGGCGGTTTAGCCAGACGCCGTTCAGTGAGGATTGCGTTCATTGGCTTATCATCTTGCTGTAGAAGCGGGTCTCTGCAGTGGCTTTCATTGGACGACAGTGTACGCTGCGGACGCTAGACCCACGTTCTTGTCTCAGAGCCTCGGTGGGCGCTTATATACAGCCACTGAAACCGTCCCACGATGAAGAAAGGCGGTATCGAAGGGTGTTTTTTTGGCCCGCTCTCTATCTGACTTGACTCGTTATCTCGGTCACCCACCCCACCTTCTACTTCCCGCTAACCGTCTCCTCCACCCTTCCTCTCAACACACTATATGACTATGTCTGCGCGCCCCCCCCCCTTCAGACCCATTCAGCCTCCAATAACAATTAACAAAGAAGCAGTAGTTGGTCAATTTCAAAATGAAGCATCAAAACAAGATACGAAGGCAGTCCACTGCCTGCAAAGAATGTCAGCGTCGGCGGACAAAGGTAGGGAATATTATAATAGTATAGATCTTCTACTTACTTTTCATTAAAATAGTGCACTGGTGGAAATCCGTGCTCGGAATGCAGAAAACGCGACTGTGTCTGCGATGTCGATGAGAGCTCTGACAAACGACGCAAACTCTACTTAAGTATGATGGAAGAAGAACTTAGGTACCATCAACAATTCATGGACGGGTTTCTTAAGGTAATACGGACTTCTAATAATACTGATGTCCACCACATTATCGATGTTGTGCGGTCGGGATCATCGACCAGTGAGATACAGACTGCGGTGAATCGCGTTCTTACGGATAATTGTTCTTCCTACAATGACGTCCCCGAAGGAGGTCCTGAAGCGGCCGGCCCAAGGAAGGCCTAAGAGGAAGGCTTCTAAATCGGCTACATCGGATTATCTTCTGGATCAAGCAACATTCAAAGTGATAGTGACTCAGCCCAGCAACCTGTTTCCGTGCCCGACGAGCCGTCGCGTGCTACCAAGGAATATCTCGAGAAGTCTGAGAATCTAGAAATGCTTTGCGAATGAGGAGCTTCCAGATGATGTTTGATTTCAGGTGTTTTACGACGCCGGATATGTTACGCGCCACTTTGGCGCTATTTATCTACAAGAATAGTCACTCAACTACAACTGGAAGTATCCTTGCTACATAAGATGGCGTTCCAACGCCATGCTATTGATGTGCATCATATGCGCAGTCAGTCGCTGGCGTTGCTCGAATTCAGTGCAGGAACTTCAAAGACAAGAATAAGCAGGCCATGATCTCCTGAACGGCAGTCAAGTAGGGAGATCCAGATAAATATAGGTATACACTGTCTGCTTCGTCGGGGCAGCCCATGCAACGCTATCGCCTGTTTCATCACTATCACGGTTTGATGTCCAATCGTGTAATGTAGCTTAGAAGATTGCGATTGCACCAGTGTCCAATGCTTTTCCGGGGCTGAGTCCGTCACCGTTGGGTCTCAGGTAGTCGCGTTTGAAAGAAAGTGCATTGAAGATGCGCTCACCGATGAGAAATGAGTAATTTTATTGCAAGACAATCCCAGCAGCAGAAGCCACTGTCGCTTCTGGGACTCTGTTCCTACGAAGTTAAATGGAGAACCTAATATCAGGTCTGTATTTCGTTTCAATGTTGAGGATCTTTCCGGTCGATACTATGGTAAGTCCTGATAGCCCCGTTAAAACCTATCTTGAATCTCACAAGCCGTAGAACCGAACAAGTACTATCATGTGTTATGTATAGAGCAAATATTTCCCAACCTAAGTGCCTTGGTAGAGCGGGGGGTTTTGTAGATAGAAGGTGTGGTCACCTAGCTGACCTTAGCCAGCCGGCAAATATCACGCTTTTATAACGCTATTAAAGATTAGTTCCGCTATAAGGGCCATACCTTCGAAGTGAACCTATGCGATCGATTCTAAAGAGCAAATGCTAAGTAGAGCGGAAAGCTAGCGCAGTAGAGATTAACTATCAACTCGAGGCTTATAAGGGTAGTTCTTAGGGTTATGAAAAGTGTGGAGAAGTACCGGATAAACCGCTAAGAAAAGACTACTTTCCTAAAGAGGCTCGTAGTAGCCTACTGAGCGAAGTTCTGGCCTCCGTGATTAGCGTAGGGTATTTGGATGGAGTAGATAGAGATTCGAATGCTCGCTATGGTAAGAAGATTCGGCGTAGGTAATGCTATAACTTATCAATTATGGTATTGCTCTGATTTTATTACTATGACTTATTATTAGATATCTTAGCTACGAGTGGTTATCAATATATTTCCTTAAATCAATAATTATGCGATCGGATATTTGTATACTATATATACTTAACCTCGCTCTATAGGACATATTTAATAGAGAAATAAGAAATATCGAATATTTAAGGAAGGGGTAGGCTAAGAGCTAGTAAAGGTAGGCAGGAGATAGTTCTATATATTCTTTACGTATAGTTTAGGAGTCTCGATTTTGATATTAGCTTTTCTCCGTAAATGTTATACTTATAGTGTATATTATTTGGGAACGGCTTAATATGTTTGTTAACGAAGTGTCGGCTAAGGGACCCGGGGTTCTTATACATTTTTAGGCGTTCGCGTTCTAGTAGTCTAGTATTACTAAGACAAATAAAGTAGATCGTTAGTCTCTCTCCTAGATATTTGACGCAAATAGAAGCGATCGCTTTAGAGAAAGTATTACTATTCTTATCTAAGGGGGTAGACTTCTGCCTCTTAGGCAGAGCGGTAGTAGGTAGTATATTAGTAGTATCGGCGGTACGTTTTTACGGGGCCCGAGGCCGCGAGGGAGTACCCTCTTCCGTATTATAGACCGCAATTACTATATTGATTATAGTAATTCGACGCTTATATTCTTTCTCGACTGTTATACCCGGTAGAGTTAGAATACTATCGATAAGTATTATATACTACGGTATTATATAGCCGGTACGCTATAACGCCCCTATAACTTCTTCGTTAACAACTTTTCCGGAAAGTTACCGCTTACTATCGATCACCGGCTACTTATTTTTATACCGCTCTAGATTTTCACAAATTAATCGGTACTTTTACTATCCCTTCTTATTTCGTAATTGCTTTACTATGCGATTATACTACTTATCTATATAATCAAATTTCTGGCGTAACTTTTTGATACCTTTCTCTTTAGCCTTCTACCGCTTATAGATTGTTCGGGAATAAGGGCTACTCTACGGTAGGATATCGCCGAACTCCTACTATAATCTAGCGTGCGCTTCTTTATAGATAAGCTTCTTAGCGTCTCGAATTCGCTTTCTTGCCTATTTTCTATCTTTTAGGGTACGTACGCGGGGAATATCTTTAATATAGCTCGAATCCTTAAGCCGATAGGGTCTACGAGGATTAATCGATCGACTTATTAAGTAGGCAAACCGTATAAGCTGTTTCTAAGCGGGTATACCCCGTATAATTGCCTAGGTATCTACGTAGATACCTATACTATAGTACCGGACAAAAGTATTAATACTAGCGTACTATAATATCACGTTCTACAATTCATTCGATACGTCCGCTAGTAGAGAGGAACGTATTAGCTAAAAGTTATATATATATAATATATCACTTACGACTATCGTTAAACGCTTTTACTACGCCGTATCGGAGATAATATAGCTTCGCGACTTCCGCGAAGCCGGTAATCTTACTACCTCGTTTTATTCTATAACGTAGCTATAACCTAGTAAGTCCCTTTTCGAGTACGATTCGAAGGCTATCCGCCTCTTATACTACTTAGTAAAATATATTCTAATCGAGAATTTCGTCCTTTAGCTTTAATTCCTACTTACTAAGTCTATCTAGGATCCGAAGACGGTACAAATTCTTAGGACAGTCTATTATAAGGCCGTCTTTTAATAGACTTTTAAATACGCCAATTCTAAATAGTATACCTAGTAGGAAAATATAAGGACTAAGAACCAATATAGGATTAAAGATAATCTCCGGAATCGGGAATATATTTCTAATTAGAAATAATAAGCAAAAGGGCGCTAAGAAGTATATAACTAGAGGAAAGACAAGTATAAAAAATGGCTTAGTAAGGGGATATTCTTACGACTCTTTTTTACTAAGAAATAATTTTGTGAATTTAGGTCTTAAGTAGATAAAAAGTCGAGGACGTCCTCTATTTAGATCCCGAACTAGTATTAACTTAAGATCCTAGAAGCGAAGTTTTAGTAGCGCCCCGGGACGGCTACTAGTAATAGCGGCTAGCTAGTAGAAAAGGAGGAGTTATATCCGGTACTAGCTATAAGGAAAAGTTATCTCTATCGTAGATAAGATCACTCGGGCAAACTCGGCTATATCCTCGATATATATAGTCGCTTTCGGTCGATCTTTAAGGGAAAGTTTCTTATCTCTAGCAACTATCGCGAGGACCTATAGAATATTAGTCGCGTACTATCTATACCGATCTCGATACTTAATCGGGATCTTATATCGCGGATCTTAACTTAGATATCTTTGCTAAGCTTATATCTAACCTCGGCCTTATAGATTAGATACCACTACTTCTAGAATAAGTCGAGCGAGCTTTTAGTCTTTACTCCTAGGGTACGACGTCTATCCTTTCTACGTCGCTAGTTATACCGCTAGGAGAAGAGAGCCTTAAAGAAGCGTACCGTCTCCTCTATATTAGAGAGCTAGGACAAACATTCTACCGGACCGCGCTTTGTACTATTATAGAACCTAGAATAATCAGCGAACCTAGTAATAGAAGCGGGATATTACAATGATATCTCACCTATCCCAAAAATATTATATCTTATCTAATCTCTCCTAAGTTTTCGGGCTATAGCGTTTCTATCGGAGCTAGGAGACATCAAAAGACTCGGCCTCCTAGAGATAGTATTCTAGTAGAAGTTGCTTCTCTTTATCTTCTAAAGCCAGCTTATCTTCGGACTTATCTTTAGACTCGGATTCGGATTCGCTACTTAAGTTAAAGACGCTAGGTACAGTAGAGGAATCAGAGTCGGAAGCGTTATTCGAGAAGATCTCGGGTAGGCGTAAGCTAGTGTCACTCTTATCATCAGATAGAGTAGGACACAGAGAAGGTATGGCAGTAGAACGTAGTATAGGTTTGAAGAGGGGGAAAGAGCAGCGAAGACGAGTAGAAGCACGAGAGAATGGTCGACAGTGATATTATTTCACTTTAAGTAAGTCACTCGTTAGAAACCTAGAACTAGGGCTAGAGTTACTAGGGAGCGAGGGAGGACTATCGTTCGGGGCCATAGTGGTCGATATTTATAGAAACTTAGGGAAGCAGAACGGTGAACAGAGGAGCCATTTTTAGCTCCCCTCCGCCAGGAGGGTGGACGAGGATAGGGCCCTATAGCGGCTGCGGCACGAATAGACATCGGTCGATCAATGGGCCCAGGCACCAGGCACGGCCAACCCGAAGTATAGGTAGCAGTAAACGGGGTTGGCCGTGGGCTTTAGTGCACGTGACGCCAAGACCGATCACGGTGAGCGAGCGGCCTAAAACGGCGTCAAAAGCGGCCGTTTCTAGCCTCCCATTCACCGTGTCATCCTTAAATATAGTATTAGTTCCTTAATCGTTTAAAAGGACTTAGGCTATAGTAAGGCCCTACGCGGTAATAGCTTAGTTACGAACCGACCATTGACGTTAGACTATTCGAGGAGTATTAAGGTAAGTATACCCTAAACCTATCTAACCTAACTATGGCTAGTTAGCTAGTGCGTAATATAAGGTAGCTAGAAATATAGGTATCCTAAGAGCTCTGAACTCTATAACCATATATTTACTTAATAGAATTGAATAAAGCGCGAGTTAAAGAAGGCCCTAGAAACTACCCTGTATTCTTTAATTTAATAATCTTATAGAACCAGCTAATCTTCTATAGATATAATAAAATTTAAGCCCCTAGTAATACCTAACTAGAGTCGCTTAGTAGATATAACCATAGTTGCTAGTACTATTACTACTAGTAGGCTGCCTACTTCTTCGATACGTAGGGTATCTTTACACGTACTGAAAATATCTTTAGGGGAGACCAGCCCTAGAAGTCCTGGTACTAGATTCCGCTTCTCCTTAGTAGTCCATCGGGCGATATACTAGACGTCTAGCGTATTTCCCTTATCTATTGCCCCTGATGAAACTAACGGCGGACCTTACGTGGCTGTGCTAGAGATTCTCTGATCCAAACGAAAGACCGACTGATTTTCCGGGCACTGTCGCCTCTTAGGTCTCCACGATACCGCTCTAGACGCGCGTGCGCGCGGCTAGGTCAGTGGAGAGGATAGTAGAGGGAACGTTCGGCCTAGCCGTGGAGACATCGACCATAGATGGGACTTTGATGGTCACATCGTAATTTGGACTTCCGGCAAGGCTCGCACGATGACAGCTGTCCATTTCGGCGAGGTGTTGCCATTTTCATCGAGTTTGTTAAAAAACAAGAGGCTGGCTGGCCTTTATCTGGTGAGGTGATGATAACAAACACGACTAGGTGATTAAGACATGAATTGTCTACTAAATAGGGCCTCAGTACCGGACCTCGGCACCGGACCTGATTAAATTTCCTATTTGAGTAATACCAGTTGAAACTCCGAATAGACTATAAAACAGGACTAGTATTAGCGGTCATCAATGTGGCCATCGAGGTGGGGGCGGCTAGTCCCGTATGAGTGGGCATATTTACCTCAGTATTTACCGCGACAATTCAGGATTTTGACCTTGACATTCCCAATGTTCTCTCCTTTTACATGAACCCTTGTCTATCATCACAATCATCAATTTCTGATTCGTCACTTCACCGCTCCTACATTCTTGTACCCAAAGCAAGAATTCCTATCAAAATGTCGATCACATCCTGCCAGTCGAAGTTATGTCGACGGTCTGTAGCTTTCTACAGCTCTCTGAATGGCGAGCGCTTAGATTGTCATGTCACGCACTTTACAGAATATCCCTCGAGGGATTTTCCATTCACTATCTCAAGAGCATTTGCTTCATTGCGACAAGCGATAGCCTTAGAGAACTAGAAGCACTAGCCCAAACAGATGGTATTCGGGAACGAGTTCAAGAGTTGTGGATGATTCCATCCGTGTTTGATGGTTCCCATGCAGAAAGTGAAAGTTCTATTTCCGAATTTGCCGTGTCATCGAGGAGTTGTCGCCAGGTACCTAATGACGAACTAAAGGCTCGTTTTTCAACATATAAAGCCTTGGTTACAGACAATTCTAGTCTTCTAGAATCGGAGGCCTTTAGCACTCGGCTACGCAAATGCTTGGAAAGGTTCGACAACCTTGACACGGTTGGACTTGCACATTGCACGACGAGCTTTTTGCTCGACCCGCGACAAGAAAAAGTCAGTTTCCTTGGCTGGCGCCGCCTCATTAATCAAATCGACTTCCGATTTGGGAGTAAGAACTTCGAGCCGCTTCGTAGTAGCGGAAGCGTAATGGACAAGGTTAACTCTTTAGCCGCGTCAAGGCTTTTGCAGGCGCTCAGTGGAACCAACCGGAAAATCAGGAAGTTACAGACATGTAATCCTGATTGCTGTGGTAACATTGCCCCCGAAATCCTCCTCACGGAAGAGCAATACAGCTCTGTTCAATCCGTTCTGGGTGATTTAGAGGATCTCCACGTTCGCATAGCTTTCAGAACCGCGAAGCCGGCTTGTGTCATGAGTGCAACGACCTGGATCACTCTGCTTATCCATGTTGCTCCCCGCCTAAAAAGACTTGCTCTCTCCCAAGACTATTCCCTTGGAGGGCTTTCTAGCGAAATCGAATTCAACCGGCTCAAAGAGCTCCATCTCCATAAGACTTGCATCAACTCCAAGAATTTGAAATCATTGCTCCTCAAAGCCAAGGAAACCCTCGCTATTTTCACGATTTTTAAGGTGATCATGGAGGATACCTCACCATCATTGTTGCCGGATTATCCATCAATTTGGTATCCTATAACTCCAGCCAGGCTTCGTCCACCTCCAGTCCCTATTTCTACAATCACAGATATCTATGATCCAATCTTAACAACCCCCTCTCTGACTCCAGCAGCCTACAATCCAACTTCAACAGCCTACACTCCAACCTCAGCCTACACTCCAACCTCAGCCTACACTCCAACCTCAGCCTACACTCCAACCTCAGACTACACTCCAACCTCAGACTACACTCCAACCTCAGACTACGCTCCAACCCCAACTCCGTATTATACTCAACCACCCGGACAACTACCACCCGGACAAACTTACATCCCTTCAACCCCCTACATACCCTCCGTGGGTCATGAAGATGTTCTTTGGAAGTCGGTTTGGAATTTCTTTGGAGAAAATCTATCGCTACAGAGATTCTCCATGGCAAAGATCGCCGACCGCAGCCATGAGATCTCTATTCAAAGCACAGATGACTCGATTGAACCTAGCGACAAGGCTTTTTTTGATGCTGAAACTGTTGGAATTTCGTTTCGTCAATGGATCAGCCAATTGACCCCTATGCATTTACTGGATTCACCTAGTATTCAAATGTGGCCGTACGACGATAACAGTAAGTAAATCAAGACAGAGTAGCTATCCAACAATTTTCTAATGATTTTCAGAGGCATGGTTCAACTAAATGATACCCGCAAACAGCAGCTCACAGAGTTCCGCCATATGTGACTGTGGGAGTGTATCTAGAGCCTGCTGCTTTGGATATGACTATAGGGGTTGGAACTGTGAGCAGGCAAGATGAGATGTGGCAAAAGACTGAACAATATCAGCTGCTCTACATGTCCCAAATTTGATGGGTTGTGATTCTGTGCTAGAAACAATACCCAGCGGTTCAGGTTGATCTTTATGTTTTCTGAAATGCGTGTAATTAAACCACAAAAACTGGGGTTAGCTTCGCATCGTGTCCGTATCAGACTGCCTTTATCGGGAATTTGTAATAGCCTGCCAATGATTTTCTTTATGATTGTGTAAATTCATGTTCTTCGAGGTTTACGCGGATAAGGAAGTCGATGAACTAATTTCATTGCTCTATAGTGCTAGCGCGAGAACTGCGTATCAAACCCATGCTATACTCTCAAGTTCTGCGGAGAAAAAGAAAAACCTCAGGTCAGAGAGAGAACTTCCCAGACCGTTCATATTTATGCTAGAATATTTGAACACCGAGGTACCTCGATGTACCCGCTCCCTATCCAGCCCCGATCCGTTCAGTTGTGGTGCCGGCGGATCACTCACATAACGGCACGATCCAGTGCCCCAATTGCAGATGTTGAGGAAAACAGCTAGAAGGAACAAGTTAGAGGCATATTAATTCCATACTAGTTTTACGGGGTAACCCATCACTCACCACAAGCCCAGTATGCAAAGGTATCTAGAAACTGTCAGTTTGATTTCCACTAGTTCAAGGCAGAATCTCTCATACCACCATTTTTAAGAGGCGGAAAGTCTTCGACCTCCGTGCTATCCTTATTCGCTATCGAATACAAGCTCATTTTGTCCCATCCATATGCCGGATCCCCTGGGCGTTGAAATATAAGATTAGTCCTGACTCACAACCACAGTTTGCAAAAGGAACACTTTGCCAAACTTACCTGTTTGGAATGATCCAGACGCATTATATCCACGGCTAAACTCGTGTAGGAGAAGTCGCTCCGGTATGTTGAAGATAATATTCCGAAGGTTTTGTCCTCTGAATGAGTCAATTCCATCAATCTTCACTTGGCTTAGGAAATACTGCATCCCTCTAAGTCCTCCGGGGCAAATTGTGATCCAGTCAGGAAGGTTAGCGTTAGGACTGAGGGTGACGGCAGCTGAGTCCTGTTCCACTGGGACTCCAGCGGCTGGGTTGGCAGGCATGGTACAGATATGTGACGTAAGTCTCTCAAACCGAGGGCTTATTGGCACCCCGTCCACCATCCAGTAATCTAGTGCCAATTGTTAGGAATTGGCCAATGCCAAAAAAGAATGTGGGCTTGAATGATAAACTCAAGTGTATGCTTGCTGCCCACCACCCATTCATCCGCGTCGCAGAGGATATAATAAGGGAAGGTCCGGGAGTGGAAACCGTTGTAAAAAATCGCCGCAAGCTCCGTAAATAGTCATTGGTTTCAACTAAACAATTATTTGCATCACATTATCGATTGATATGTTAACCCACTTTCCAACCGAAGTGCGCGGGCTTGAGATCTTTGCTTTGCAGCATTGTCATTTCACCTGAATGGGCTGTAGAGTGTCATAAAGATATCCAAGAGTCGTCGTTGTATTGTCAAATCCTACGTTGCATCGCGCTTGAATTTTATTCTGTACGGTCTGATAGTGTGTCAAGATTGAGGATGTAGGCATGCAAAAAGAAAAAGGAGTTGATTTGACGGTTTGGAAGTATGGGTTTATTATTAAAAGCTCATAAAGATTCAGGCCAAGGGCTACCCTAGGTGGCAACGCACTCACTCGTTTGCATTCTACCAGACACACTCATTCATTCATCTTTCAATTCACTCTTTTTAAATTTTGACATTTTCTCTTGGAAGGGTCCAAGCATGGGCCTCCTCTCTGTGGCCAAGGCCCTGGTTCTTTTGCCATTTATATTGAACTTGGTACTAGCTGAAGTCTCCATGGGCGCATCCGGTTCATGTTCATCGACTCAAAGATGTGTATCCGGCTGTTGCGGCAAAAGTGGCTATTGTGGGTTTGGACCTAGCTTCTGTGATGAGAACAATTGTGTATCAGACTGTGATGCTCAAGCAGAATGTGGCCGTAAGTCCAATCCGGACAAAGGACCTTGAAAAGGAAAATTACTCACCCGTGTATAGCGTATGCTCCTATCGCTAACACTACTTGTCCTTTGGGCGTGTGCTGCTCTCGATTTGGGTAAGCATTAATTGCTTCTCGCATCTCTTATACATGCTAAAGGTTGATCTAGTTTCTTTGGTACTACAGACGAGTTTTGCGGGGCGGGGTGCTCCAGTGGGTGCGATCCTATTGACCGACCGTATGTACCTGTTAATCCTCCAGCTTGAGACTCCTCCAGCTTACAAGATGTTAGGTCTTGTTCTGGAGGAGCAACAAGTGAAGCGATTTACGGTGGATACTTTGAAGCTTTTAACTACGAACACGCATGCGATACCACTGAGCCCCAAAACATCGATGTGGCACCATGGACGGGGATTCCAAGCCAGACTAATTCTTCTTATAGCATCTTTATTTTGCATTTTCTGGTATTGCCAGTGATGACTCGAGTATCGAACTAACCTATCAGCATGACATCGACTAAGTCCCACAGATGGTCGCTCTCAACGGAAAAAGCCATCTCTGAAAGTCTGGCTTTCGGTTGGAGAATGGGACCTTGGCGGTCTAATTTCCTCGGACATGGTACGCTTCAAAGGCACACGCAATAATTTCATCCGCTCCGCAGTCGAGGAGATGGAAAGTCGGAAGTTTGATGGCATTGACATTGACTGGGAGTATCCTGCTGCGTCGGACAGAGGTAAGCAGTGCATATCCAGGTGTTGGAGCGATGTATTTTGTGCTAATATTTATTTGTTCAGATGGTCGAGACGAAGACATCGCAAACCTTGTTACCTTCATGAAAGAGCTCGGGGCGGCTTGTGGTGATACGTATGGCATCTCCGCAACTCTACCATCATCCTACTGTGTGTTTTTACGTCAATGCTAATGGCAGTGCTATCGCATTCTAACTTTGTGAAGATTACTTGAAGGGCTTCGAATACCCTATTCTATTGATCTAGAAGACACTGTATCGGCTCTGTATAGCTTAGTACTACACCAAACTGGATATTATAGTAGCGATTAATCGCCTTCGTATTCCCAAGGGAGACGAATGGAAGACTGCGTTCCGGACGAGTTACTGGTTATTTAAATACTCTGTGCCCTTTTGGTTGACGAATGGCTATGCTTCTTTCTAGTACTATGTGAACGATGCCCTGAGAGAATACCTCGATATTTTTTGTACGGTATATCTAGATGATATCTTGATCTACAGCAATACATTGGACGAGTATAAGAGACACGTGAGACAAGTATTACAACACCTTAAAGACCATGGATTATAGTCCGACATTGTAAAGTGCAAATTCTACGTGCACGAAGTGAAATACTTGGGCCATATTGTGGGTACTAACGGGATTCGGATGGACCCACGAAATGTTAAGGATATACAAAGTTTTCTCGGATTTGTAAATTTCTACCGATGATTTATTAAAGGGTTTGCCAGAAAAGCCAGCGCGCTTACAAGATTGACCAAGAAAGATACCCCATTTATATGTGATGAGAAATGCTAGACATCGTTTGAAGAACAAAGAAGCGTTCACCTCAGCACCAATTCTACGACATTTTGACCTAGATAAGCCTCGCACTATCGAGTGCGATTTATCAGATTATATCAATATAGGTTGCTTGTTACAGCCTGGGACAGATAAGACGCTGTACCTAGTTATATTCTTCTCTCGTAAGCTGTCACCGACGGAGTGCAACTATGATATCTACGAAAAAGAACTGATGGCCGTTGTATAATCCTTTGAAGAATGGCGGGCCGAGCTGGAAGACGTAGATACTCCTATATAAGTGATCAGTGACCACAAGAACCTCTAACATTTTATGACACCTAGGGAATACGAAAACTTCTCGCAAAGCAATAACTCGATATCGATACTGTAGACGCTTTCGCGAACGAAATGGCAAGACTTACGGAGATACTACGTTCAGAGATGACCATGATTTAAGCGTAATACACCGAGTACGCAAATAAGAATCGAATGCCAGCGCTACAGTATCGCGAGGGAGACGAAGTGTAGCTAGGGACAAAGAATTTGAGTATAGAACGACCGGCTAGGAAACTCTCGGAGAAATTTATTGGGCCATTCAGAGTCGCCGAGGTTATAGTCCTAGTTACGTACCGATTGGAGCTTTCTCTAGCATTGAGAATTTACGATGTTTTCCACACGAGCTTGCTCCGCCTAGTGGCTTTGGACCCCTTCCCTAACCAAAATGAACCAACTTAACACCGAATTAGATCGAATAAAGATAACACCGAAGAAAGAGAATAGATGATCGAAATGATACTGGATTCACGCGTCACTAAGAATCGACATGGAAAGAGAGGATTGGAGTAATACGTGAAATGGAAAGGCTACCCTCCTTCGTGGCGACCCCAAATGGTGTATATGGGTTGCCCTGAACGCGAGGAAGCTACCTTTCTTCTGCTTCCTCGCGCTACGTCTTGTATCTAGAGTCGACTATAGTAGTTCTTACTTTTGATTATTTATCTTGAAACACTATCCACTTCTATGTATACGTGAGACCCTCGCAGAATGGTGCGAATGTAGACGCCCAAGTGGGCCGGTGTCCGGGCATCATTACATCGGCCATTATAGGTGGCCAGGGGTGCGGTGCGTGGTTATGACCGGGTAGATGCGTGCGAAAAGGGGTGGTGCCGAGGCCGCCACTTTTAGCGTTAGAAGGAGCCAGTTTCGACCATCCCAGCACAAATGGTTTTTGTTTATAGGCCCAAAAGGCCCAATAAGAAAAAAACGAGGCGGAAATAGAAGAAGGTATTGATCGAAGTTAGGAAGTATAGAAAGGCCAAAAAATGTCGGGGGGATTATATTATCTTTATATTATAGTAATAAAATAGCCAATTGATTTCTTTACTATTTTTGATCAATTAGATTACTACATTTTAGGGTAGTAAATGGTGGCTAAAGAAAAATGTAAGGGCCGGTTAATCTATAACTCTACGACCTACAACCAGCTATTATAGTACCGCCTAAAGTTCTTTAGGTTTTTTTTTTTCTCAGAGGATGAATTAAGCTACATAATAAATATCGATGGCTGTTTGAGAGACTATTATAATAGAATTAGAAAAAGATTAGCAAAAAATAGAGATACGTTGGTTCCAGAGGGGGTCGAACCCTCGACTTTGGCGTTATTAGCACCACACTCTAACCAACTGAGTTATGGAACCGTATTATGTGATCGTGCCAAAAATTAGGACCTATCAATGTTTTCCTAAATAATAAGTATTTCAGACCTAGTTAAGTTATTATGCTCATGTTGGCACTGTAAAAATACCTAACGTATTTCACTGCTGGAGTCACGGTCACGTGGTCTGTAGTTTCTAAGGCGTCGTTTGTATGGCAGACATTATCTGGTACAGGTAGTCACATATGTATTGGGTCATCCCATTGCTGCCTGGTTGTGTAGGCTTGATTGCTTGCGGGGTGATCGCTTGTTTGCCTGATTCATGGTACAAGTATCTACCCCGCTTCCTCTTCTTCCCCGATCTGTATAGCAGAGGCTATAACATAATCTGTAGTTTTAAGCACCGAAGGCTTTATTTTCAGCATGGAACCTTCGTCAAAGGATCAATACTTTTATCGTTGCTATTCTTCAGGCAGTGCCGGTGCCCTAAGATGTGAAAAATAACCCCCACGTCCCTAGGATGCTATCATAGGGACAGCTGCTTCATGAATTTAGCAGTCACATGATTCGAAGACAGAGAGTCCCCACTGCACTGATATCTGTTACCATTTGCCCCATTGAAGCGCTATATCGTGCTTCGGAAAGATGCTACGTTTTGCAGCAAGACCCGGAGGATCCAGCGGAGATATGGATCGTGATAATATTCGGGCTGGATGACGCCAATACGACGCTTCACCATGCTCGCGAACTTGCACAGCAGCTTATGGACAGCAAAGACTCAAATGCTTTTAAATACGAGTATTTGTTCGAACGGGAAATCCCGACGAGCTACCTGCAGCACAACGTCTCGCTCAAAGAGCTAATCAAACGCGGACTAACAGACGGGATGTTCCTCAACATAGAAGGCTCTTTTCCAAGCACTCTGGAAGAATTCCGGAATGTGGTAATGAGCGCAATATTGTCGGACGCTTATGGCGCTGGTCGTTGGCTAGGAGGCGCCCGAGCTTTCGGTGCCGGGCACCTGTATATGAGATCGCGAACAAGATATTTTTAGATTCTCTTGGAAGTTCAGGCGCATCGATCGGTATCGCCAATATATCGATGTATATTGGGTGAATGATGAAGGAGACCTTGAATTTGACTATGGTCTTGAGTTTGGGAGCATATGATGTTGAAAACGGCATCACGAATGAACTGGATTCCTGGCTTGGTATTTGAATGAAGAGCTAGCTGAGGTTTTGATGTAGTCCTCAATGCTGCTGGTTTCTTCTTACTTTAATTCATGTTTCTAGCGTCTTGCTTTGCTGATGCTATCTTCGTTCCCTTGCGGTTATTCTTTAGATTTTATGAGGGCCTTAGAAATTTTAAATAAAACAATACAATGCCCTGGCCGGTTTTACGGAAAGCTTAACAGGCGCATATAACGTACAGTTCCAATCTATGACAAGGCACAGGGCAGTTACCGTCTACATCCATGTACTTGGTGGATACGTCGTTGGGAACCCCAGACAACAGTCAAACCCCGGAAGATCTGATCTAGAACCCCACATAGACTACACTGGCCAGATGTTCTACGAACGCTTTCAAAACCTCGACCTCGACAAGGCTGAACTGGAAGTTTTCAAACTTTTTTTGGATTCCATTGTTCTTTTTGTCGATCGGGTTCCGGTTCGAATCGGCGTTTGTCTTTTCTGAGTACCAGTAATGGGGGGAAGCTGGTACGAGGAAGAAAAGAGAGGAAACAACATCACAACCTCGTTTGTCGCATTGAGCCCATGCAAGCACGCCTAGATGGACGTGTGTATGTAGTAAAACACCAAGATCGAAACCAGACCAGACCGTGCCACAAGTCCACAAACCAGCCCTCGCGCAAGAACCTGAATTCGTTTTCTCGTATCAATAAAAAAAAGGCTTTCTATTATCTTTTTTGCACTCTCTGCTCCTCTCTCTCACGATCGTTTCTCCATAATCGACCTTCCGCGGCTTTCGGTATAAAAACCAAAAAGTCAATCCACCCAAACTATCACCTCCAGTCGAAACGTCGGAAATCGTAGAAACGGCCGAGAGTCGGCAGGCGGGAATGGGTTGAGCAGCGCGGCGGTTTAGGGCTGATGGAGATAGGAGGTTGAAGGTACGGCAAGAAAGAAAAAGCGGGGGACTCGATTTTGGCCGAAGAGTAATCATGAAAAACCGGTCGTAAGGGATATGCGAGAGAAGAAGAGAGACAAAATAGACGACGCGAGCGAAATTTCGTTTTGGTGGATTTTAACGGAGACGGCGGGCCTCGCGCTCGGACTCGAGCAGGCAGAGGATGTCGTCAACGCGGACTGGTGCGGAAGAAATATATGTTAGTGATGTGGTTCGGTAAGGTTTTTCGTCTCTTGGGTCGATCTTCGAAAATTCCACATTTCAACATGAGGGGCTCTTCTTCATTGTAGAATGAATAGATTGACCCATGTTTGCTTCCTCCTCTTGTGATCCCAAAAGACGAACGGATTCAAGGTAATCAATGTCGCATACCTGGGCCCTTGACGTTGCGGATGATGGAACGCGAGGTGTCGTCCATGAACTCGACGCGGACCTGGGTGACACCACCACGGGATCCTAAATGAATAGACCACAAATTAGCCATTGCTATTCCTCCAAGTGTCTGGTTTTCATCGGTTTGTTTCGGGCGAGCCGGGGCGCAATGGGTGCACCCCGCGAATATCGAATATCGAATTGTGGGTTTTGGAGCTTCAAAAAGTTGGGAAAGCACATACCGGTGCGGCCGAGGACACGGGTCACCTTGACGAGCTTAACGGGCTGCTTGCTGGAATCCATCTTGGAGGTCTGGAGAGGGCGTTGAGCTCGAGGATTGGAGTTGGTTGGACTGAAGGTAAGAGAGTGTTGAAGTGGAATTTGGCCTGTGTGGGTTCGTGCAAATTACGCGAGGGCTCAGGGCTGGACACCTGAGCCGTCAGGCATCAGATGAGTCAGCGGATAAAATTGACACCTGGGTCATCAGGCAGCTTGAGGCAGATTCAGGCAGAACATATTTTCGCTGAACTCCGATATCGTTCAGCATCACCATTAGACAATTTAGACTTCCACAGCCAATTATCCTATGAAATAAATTAAAAATTTCATTGAAGACTCTACCAAGTATATCCTGTAGACGATCCAAATAGCTACATGCCACAGAATCCTACCACGTGGGTTCATACTGTCCAACGAACACGATACACACTCTGGTCCGGTCACCAGTCCACCGAAGTAATCTGCCCCTCCAATTTCTGCCGCAAGTAGCTCCGGCCTCTCCCTCCTTCTGACTCCTCCGGACTATATCAATTGTTCTACCTTGTCCCGAGATATATTCAAGTCTCAGAATTTCAATTGACTTAACCTCTTTGTCAATTGATCCCCGGTCAGCTTACTCTCCCACCAAAAACCAGTGAAAGCCCCGCGCCGCACCGCTCTATCGCCATGGATCTCGTCAACCAGTGAGTCAACTTCAATTACAAACCGCATTGAGAGATCTCTATTAACACAACGATTCTAACTAGCCTTGAAGGCCGTCTCCTCTTCGCTGTGCCCAAAAGCAAGTTCCCTCCCAAATCGTGACTCATAGACCTCTGCGAGCAGCGATACCTACATGAACAAGAACCAAGAAACAAGAAACAAAGTTAAAGAACCCAAGACTGACGAAGCAAACCCCACTATACAGAAGGACGTCTTCAACAAGCAACCCTCGATCTCCTCGCCGGCTGTGATGTCCAGTTCCGCCGCGAAACCCGCCTCGACATCGCGCTGGTCAAGAACCTGCCCATCGCGCTGATCTTCCTGCCCGCCGCCGACATCCCGACCTTCGTCGGCGAAGGCCGCGTCGATCTCGGAATCACTGGCCGCGACCAAGTCGCCGAGCACGATGCCACCCTGCCCGCTAGCGAGGTCTCCGGCGTCGAGGAGATCCTCGACCTAGGCTTCGGCGGCTGCAAGCTGCAGGTGCAGGTCCCGGAGAAGGGTGAGCTCAAGGAGGCCAAGGACCTCGTTGGCCGCAACGTCGTCACCAGCTTCACTGCCCTCACCGAGGCTTTCTTCCGTAACCTGGAGGGCGCCGAGGCTGGCCAGAAGCTCACCACGAAGATCAAGTATGTCGGCGGTAGTGTTGAGGCTGCTTGCGCCCTCGGCGTCGCGGATGGTATCGTTGATCTTGTTGGTATGTTGTGATAAGCGCCAGTCAAACTGAAATACCGGAATCTGTCGCTAACACTCAGATCTTTTTCTTCAGAGTCCGGTGAGACTATGAAGGCCGCCGGCCTGAAGGCAATTGACACCGTCGTCTCCAGCACTGCTGTGCTAGTCAAGTCCCGCCAGTCCAACAGCGACATCCTCACCCTCCTTACTTCCCGTTTGCGCGGTGTCATCACCGCCCAGAAGTTTGTCCTGTGCCAATACAACATCCCGCGTGATCAGCTGCCCGTCGCATCTAAGATCACCCCCGGCAAGCGCGCCCCTACTATCACCGCGCTCGAGGAGGAAGGATGGGTTGCTGTTAGCTCGATGGTGGAGAAGAAGCGCATTGCTACGGTAATGGATGAGCTGATTAAGGTTGGCGCAAGTGATATCTTGGTTCTGAACATTGCCAACTCGCGCACGGATTAAAGACTTGATGATGATACTTTGTTTCTTTTTGGGGTTTTTATAGCATCCTTCTTCTCATGATTTTTTTTTTTTTTTTTTTTACTATGATGGACTTTTCTGGGATACTGGTTCCTTTTCTTCTGACTGTCTTGCTATTCCAACAGGTATTGGACTGATAGGACAAAAAGCACATACATAGAATGGGATATAGCATGTGTGCAACGAGATCTATCCATGTTCGTATATTGAGCTCTGCTCTAGCTTTTTTTTGTCTATCTTTCTATGTATTTCTATATAAATAGCCTCATCCTCCCCTGCTATATATATGCTATAAAAACGAGAATATACTGATTCAATGCCAGTATGGTACAGTCACATCCAAATGTGCCACATCCCAAAACCCCTGCCCAGAACTACGTAACCAATCGAAAATCATCAAACATATGGCAATGGTATCATAAAAGATCATCAGGAAAAAAAAAACACCCCCCTCACAATTCCTTCTCCCCCAATCCAACACCCTCCTTCCTCCCCCGATGAATAGCCATAAGACACTGTCCAACCCCCTCAAGATCCCCAAGCAATCCAACATGCCCACGATCACTCTTCACCAATCCATCCTTAATAATCCTATATCCAGGTGGCAACATAGCAGCCGAAGCAAGACAAACACCATCCCCAGCAGCAAACGCAAGATCATCATACGCATCAACCTGCTTGATACTCTCACGCGATACAACCCGCGCACCATACACAGTCGGCAACGTCTTCCCGTACAGCACAGCCGCAGGCGGGTATCTGTTCTCGGAATGGTGCGTCGGCCGGAACGCCAGATTCTCCTTGAACCGTTTGGTATCTGCCAGCGTGCGCTGTAGGTACTCTCTCGCCGCGGGGAGCGGGATAGTGCTCGTCGTGGCGATTTTGTTGGCTGTGGAGCTGCTGCGCGGGTATGCGCCCGGTCCGACTAACCCGTCCGCTGGGTTTTGGGCTTTTTCCGCTGCGTATGCGGCGTACGAGGCTGGGTTATGCGGTGTGTTGTTATTGCGGGCGTAGATATCTTTTTCTATTCCGGTGATGGCGTGTCCGTCATGCGGGTGATTGTGTAGGTCTTGGGAGAGGAATTCGTCCGATTCCTCGCGCGGACCCATGGAGAAGCGCTTTCCGATTATAGGGATGTCCTTGAAGCCGAGGGTTGTTGGTGTTGGGGGTGCGGGGAGAGCTGGGCCCGTGCAAGGGGAAAGACGGTGGTCTTCCCAGGTTTGAGGGTTAAAGAAGTCGATGCGGAATTCTTGTTTGCTTTGTTTGTCGATGAAGCAGTGCCCGTCTTCCGGGAGGAGGGCGAAGCTCGTTCGGAAGGTGAAGTTTACTTGCGCTGTTAGAACGCGGGAACTGAGGAGGACGTCGTCGCCGCTGCGGAGGGGTCCGAGGATGTTTACGCAGTGCTGGGGTACGCCTGCGTACACGACTCCGGCGAAGAGGTCGGGTCGCTCGTTGACCGCGTGTCGGGTTATCAGACCGCCCAGGCTGTGTGCGATGACTGTAGCGCCGCGTCGCGGCTCACCCGGCGAAGGCTCTTGGTTGCATGGTAGGCTCTCTAGGAAGGCGATGAGCCTGCGCGAGAGTAGCTCGGGGCTTAGACGCCAGTCATATCCGTAATCGTGGACACGCATGTCGCCACGCAGGGCGTTTTCGCTCTTGCGCAAGCGCTTCATCAATCGTCGACAGACGTCCACGGGGCCAACGTGGGAGAGAACCCCAGATGGGATGATGGTCTCCTCCATATGTTCCTCGTCCTCAGGGTGTAGACCAACCTCCAAGTCTACTTTCCGCAGATTCAGGCCAACTTTCATCGGCACCCAGAGTTGGCGATGGGGTGGCTTAGCAGACCGCAGGATTGATCCTCGGTAGCCACCTAGAATCACCACATCGCCCGTAAGATCTGCCATTGCTTCTTCCAAGACTGGATGTGTTATGTTTGGATTGTTGCGCGGAGTTAGCGGTGGGGTTGCAGCCCGCGGTGGCTGTTCCCTTTTGGCAGTACCGTTAACACCGTTGCTGTTATTTGATGAACTGTTTCCAAGATCTGGCAGGAATTGACGAGAGCCCCAATCATTGCGGATATCCGGTAAATGGAGATTTGGCATGCTGAGCAGCCTGTTACTCGAGTCTTGGAGACTATCCTTGATTGCCTTGAAGCGGCTGTTTACCTGAGTATGCACATTCTCGTATAATGGTCGCTGCTCTAGGGACGATGCTGTGGATGACGCACGCAGATACAGCGATTGATCCGATGAGGACCTCCGTAGACTTGGCGGTCGACCGGGCATCGCTGAACTAGGCCTCCGTATGAAGGAATGCTTCGCGGCCGAGGTTCCATCTGGCGAGCGCAGCTCAGGTATCGGCCGAGCGGCTTCTCCGTCATCGTCAACGCTAGAGCTGCTTGGTGCAAGAGGTGATGGCGACGGGCGCAGGACCAGCGATGAGGTTCTTTTTGGCACTCCTGAGTTCTTTTTAACTGCGGGAGCTACTGTCTGGCTGCGGATTCGGTTTTGGCCATTGGGGGCACGGAACGAGAGAGACGGGCGTTTCCTCAAAGAGGTCAGATCAGGAAGGAATCTCTTCAGCTCGCCGGACCAGGCGCGTGGTCGGCGAGGCAACGTGTTCTTCAATAAGGTCCCGACAAAGCCAGACCTCTGGCTCACGGCTGAATCTTTCGACCCCGCCTTTTCAGGGGCCGTGGCAAAAAGATCGCTGCGAGGGCCATGCGCGAGGCCCGGCTCGGGCTGTTTATACTGCGGAGAGGGGTATGATGCCCGAGGCTTATGTCCGGACTTCCGTTCGCGTGGTGATGGTGCTGGTGCTGGTGCCTTTTCGGCCTTGGGCTCCACCGACTCCGGCTCGGCCGTGATTTCCGATGCAAATAGGCCATCCTCGCCAATAGTATCCGGTATCGTGGTAAAATACGACCCCTGGTGTTCTAGTACGCGGTTCTTCTCTTCCACGGGGGTTGCTCGGGCCTTCATGCGGCTCTGCTCGCGCCCAATGCTAACCCCCACCACGTCGCCAGCGGCATCTTCATCGGTGACCTCGATCGAGTGCGGGAGTGGCTCGTCGCTATCGGAGCTAGAGAAGGATGAATAATGGGAGGGGGAGTCTGAAACAACCAGATTCGAGGATGTCTCCGATGAGTACAATGTCTGGTTCGGCGGGTGTGTTGAGACAACCGCCGCCGCAGCAGTTTCCGGGGCCAGACTTGACGAATAGGGTCGGTTGGCGGGGATTGAGGCCATGGCGATTTATACCGGGAAAAGAGAAAAGCTCTGAAACCAGTTCAAAACATGAGGTCGTACGAGTGTGTAACTATTCCGAAACTTAGTATTGGCTGGATGCAGCAATGTGGGCCGCAAAACGGGGAGCAAGGATATCAAGAGCTTGGCCCTGATGTATATTGTATATAAGGTATATTTGGAAGAAGAGTGTTCAATGTTTTATTTTTTTTTTGAGAGATGCGTTCATAAAGGCTGGGAATAGGTGGGTTCCACCAGCACAGCCTTCTCGGGTCGGTCGGATGTTGACAAAAACCTTGGAAGTTTATGATCTCCCGGTTTTGACTTGGGTTCGATATCAGAACTTTTATGAAACCAAGCAAAATACTAGAAGCTTGGCCTAACCAGGTACATGGGTTACCTATGAACTATGAACTATGAGCCTATATCTCTTTCTATGTACATGCATGATCGACATTCGTATTGAATCCGGGGGATACCCTAACTTTCGTTGTCTTTTGCATGTGAGAATGAGAGATTCCTTAATAAGCCAACTGTTATACCAAAGTACCATATACCTCAATTTCGCCGACCTACTTGGAATAGCTTTACACTCGTACTCGTATACACTTATTCCCGAAACCGACCAGATCGAATCTCCTCCGCGCCCTTATTCGCAATCTCCTGATTCCGCTCAGCACCCTCATTAGACCCAAAAGCCCGGTCAACAGCCGCATTCAATGCCCCACGCAATGACTCTCCAGCACCCTATACCACAATCAGAACCCCATTTCCCATCAAAAATATATCAACTTACATGAACTGACGCCGCAACACCCTTCGCTTTATTTCCGACCCCCTCACCAGCCCGCGCAGCTCTAGAGTCCTCCATTTCCGCCCGCTGCGCTGTACTGGCTGTGTGCGGGAGCGGCGCATCCCCTACAATCCGGTCATCGCTGCGAGACGGCGACGGTGAGAGCGGTCGCTGGTGGGTCTGAGTTGGTCCACCTGCTGATGATCGCGAGTAACTAGCTCCTGTAGACGGGTTGTAGCCTTTGGTTGCGTCGTACTGGGATCGTGTATCGTGCAGGCCTGTCGGGAGGCCTGGGGCGCCGGTTGAGGAGCCGCCACCCACTGCGCCGCGGGAGGCTTGGATCGGATCGGCGTGTTCGTAGCTTTGGTAAGCTCGTGACATGATTATGTATTATTTATTGTTGGTCTGGTGTTGTTAGGATACTAAGTGTAGTTGGAGTGTTCTCGTAGTTCGACGACGCATCATTACCGGGCAATGACGTCACTATGAGAGGTATAAATCGTCTTGTTAGTCCTAGAGATGTCACTGAGCTGGATATAGGTACATCTATGCATATATCTCTTTTATGTTCAAATAAACGCAAATAATGCATTCCCAAGAAACTGATTATTCAACAACTTCTTCTTCGAGCCGGGGTAAAGCCGAGGTCCAAGGAGCAGTTTTCCTAATATGGAGCGTCTCCGATGGTACATAGATAATTTTATATCTCCGCGTTCTCTTCCTTCTCTACAACACATGTTCTCCCTAAACTCCTAATTCCCCAAACATCCTTCAAAATGTCCAATAAACAAATCATCTACACCACCCCTCCGGCCCCGGCCATCGACCCTTCTCTCAGCAGTGGCACCTTCCGCCTAAACACCCTCCCCATCCCCAAAGATGTCCCCACAGACCAGCTCCTCGTACGCGTACACTACCTCTCCCTCGACCCAGCCATGCGCCAATGGCTCACCGCCAAGCGCTCCTACATCGCCCCCGTCGAGCAAGGCGCCGTAATGCGTGGCCAGAGCATCGCCCAAGTCCTCGCCGTAGGCAGCGACCTGACATCAAAGTTCGCCAAGGGCGACTGGGTCGTCGCTGGTTCCGGCTGGCAGGAATACGCGGTGATCACCGCAAAAGAAGCACAAAAGGTAACTGTGCCGGCTGGCGGACGGCCCACGGATGCGATGTCCGTGCTTGGCATGACCGGGCTGACGGCCTACTTTGGCATGGTGGAGATCGCGCAGGTGAAGAAGGGAGACACGGTTGTTGTTTCTGGTGCTGCGGGTGCGACGGGCATGGTGGCTGGCCAGATTGCGCGCATCAAGGGCGCTAAGCGTGTTGTGGGGTTGGCGGGGAGTAAGGACAAGTGTGATTTCTTGGTTAAGGAGTTGGGCTTTGATGCGGCGGTCAATTATAAGGATCCGGATTGGAAGAAGCAGCTTAAGCTCGCTACGCCTGAGTATATTGATGTATTCTTTGATAACACCGGTGGTGATATCCTTGATGCTTGCTTGGCGAGGGCGGCTCAGGGCTCGCGCTTTGCTATCTGTGGCGCTATCAGTCAGTATAATGCTGCTAAGCCGCAGGGTCCGGCTAGTTTCATGAGTGTTATTGTGAGTTCTTCTTGGATTTGGGGGTTATTTTTTGGGGGGGGATTTGGGCTAATTGATGATAGTCGCAACGGATCACCTTGAAGGGTTTCATTGTCTTCGATTTTGCGAAGCAATACCCTGCTGCGCTCAAAGAGCTCGGCTCTTGGTTGGCTGAGGGTAAGCTCAAGCGCAAAGAGCATATCGTGCCTGGTGGCTTGGAGGCAGCGCCTCAGGGTCTTATTGACCTATATGCTGGTGCTAACACCGGTAAGATGATGGTTGAGGTGGCGCCGGTCAGCGAGGCGTTGGCACCAAAGGCCAAGCTGTGAGTATATCTGTGGGTAGCACGTATTTCTGGTTTTCTGGTTTCATGTCTTTGGTGATAGGATGGATGCTTTTGATGCAGGTCGTATTAGACCTTGTCTATTAGCTATATACTAAATAAATTTTCAGCTTGAGCAATCTCGAAAATATTTCCAATCAAAGTCAGTTTAATATCAAACAGTAAAATATATCCCAACAGGTTCTTTTTTTTTTTCTTTCTCCTTTTTCTTTGTTGTTTTTAGTCTACTTGAGTCTTTCTGCTCTGTTTCGAGTATACAGTGACGTCATTCTGAGACATACGAGCCCCGGTTACCACGTTCGTCTACCTAGATTTAGCAGGAATTGAAAAATATTCAAACAAATTGGAGCAACAGATGACCTACAAGTGATTCATAGACACAACAGGCAAAATAGGAGCAAAACAGGTTTGAGCTTTTGTCCCACACGGGTTATCCCCATTTTAATCGTCTATATATACAGCCATCCGCCATGCCGCGATTCTACATACCAGCTCTCAGCAAGAACCAGACTGTTCTAACGTCAATTCCATCAATCCGGGTATCCAAGATTTCTCTCCTGCTTTGTCGTCAATTCGGAGTAAATCCCACCAGAAAAGCTCCTGTTTCAGACAAGGTCAAGATGGCAGCTAGTGAAAGTAACAAAAGCTTCAAGCTGGAAAACCTGTTCAATGTAAAGGACAAAGGTGAGCAATGTATAATCACTCCAGACCATCATATCCTAACAACAGTAGTGGCCCTCATCACAGGCGGCGGCTCAGGAATAGGCCTAATGGCCGCGCAAGCGTTAGCCGTGAACGGCGCCAAAGTATACATAACCGGGCGCACAGAAAAGAAACTCGACCACGTAGCCACACTTTACGACAACGACGAGGGGAGCGGCAAAATAATCCCGCTCGCAGCCGACGTAACCAAAAAAGACGAGATCAGGAAACTAGTCTCCGAGATCTCCACACGCGAAGGCCACCTCTCAATACTAATGAACAACGCCGGAATATCCAACCAAACGCAAAAGACCGAAGCGGAAGATGCAACCGAGCTCCGCGAATCCCTCTTCGACGACCCATCCGCGACATTCGACGAATGGGATGATGTGTTCCGCACGAACGTCTCTCAGATCTTCTTCATGACAACTGCATTCCTGCCGTTGCTGCAGCGCGGCTCGGAGATCGAACATGGCTGGTCCAGCACCGTGCTCAACACGACTTCTATCTCGGGGATTGTGAAGCTCTCGCAGCATCATTTTGCGTATAATGCTTCCAAGGCTGCGGCGATTCATTTGACGAAGATGCTCGCGCACGAGGTTAGTTCGTCGAAGCTGCGGGTTAGGGTTAATAATATTGCGCCGGGGGTTTTCCCTAGTGAGATGACTGCTGGGGAGAGTGATGATATGCAGAAGAGTTATATTCCGGCTGAGAAGTATCGGGAGAAGGTTCCTGCTGCTAGGCCTGGGAGAGATGAGGATATGGGTAGTGCTGTGCTTTTTGCGGTTTGTAATCAGTACTTGAATGGGCAGAGTGTCGTTGTTGATGGGGGGTATGTTCTTGCTGCTGGGTCTGTGTGATTGGGAGTTGGATGGGTAGTGGGTGGTGTAAAACAAATTTGTTCTTTGTTTGTGGGTATCTGAAGGAAAGCTAGGAACATGTCAAAGAAAGCATCTTCAAACCACCAAGTACGTATTGTAACGGGGTATCAAATTGCAGCCTTGTTCAGTATCCTTTCGCTCCCGCTTCGCAAACTACCACACCATGTATCCATTCTGATCGCAACAACTTCGGAGTTGTGATACGCTTCCGAGAGCAGGGGTGCAACATTGCATAGATAGCGTTGCGACGTCTCTAGAGACTAGGTATTAGTGACTTGTCTGTGCCGGAGCTCCAAAAAATAATACTATAACATACCTGCCCCAGAGTCTCAATTGGCGGGTATCCATCCTCCCCGCTACGAGAATGAAGGTACTCTAGATACCGCACATCCTCCTGGTCGGGACGTGCACTACGCCACAACATCCGGTCGGTGACAAGCGCCATGTAAACCATAGCAGTGGCCCATACATCAGCGGGCCGAGAATCAAACTCACCACGATTGCCATGTTCCTCATGACAATGGGATTGAAAATGAAGCTGGAATTCTTCCGGCGGGATATACGGCAGCCTCATACCAACAAACGAAGCTGTTGGCGAGTTCGCAATGACGGCCTGACTGTCATTGCCAGAAGAAGATTCAGAATTTTGACGACATAATGAATTCAGCGGCCACGGTAGCGTAAACGACCATGCATAGTTTGTAGGTGGCTGTGGTCGCGGGGGAAGCATTCCTTCTCTCCCAGCCTCGGCAGACTCCTCCCATATCCGCCGGACATGTCCGTCGCCAAACCCGGCTAGTTTCACGGCTCCGTTAGCAGTGAGCAGGGCTGTCTCAAGGCGGACGTCGCGATGTGCCGTGCCGTGGTCGTGTAGGAAGGCAAGAGCGCGTAGGATCTGGGTGATTATACAGTCCGCTTCTTGGGTTGGTAGAGGACCGTTGCGAGATAGGAGGGTGTTTAAATCGCCACCGGCGCAGTATGGCATGACTAGACAGAGCTCGGCGCGTTCATTATGGAGGATATCTAGGATCGGCAAGATGTTTGGGTGGCTTGGATGCAGGGATGTTGAGTGGGAAGAGCTTGGGGGACCTCTGAGGATGGATCGTCGGTATACTTTGATTGCGACAAGTTGGTTATCGCTTCCTTTGTTTGTTTTGCTTTCATGTAAACGGGTTGTGCTGTTACAGCCATAGTGTACCATATGGCGATAACGACCGTATTTGTCTATGAAGGGGAGGTTTGGCGATGGGAATGTTGATTGTGATTGGGTAGATAATGATGGCGTTGAGTCTTGCCTTAACAAGGGTTGCTCCTCTGTTGGGATGGCTTCCAATAAGGGTAGATTGTTGTTTTTGATGGCGCTACCATTGGACAGGTGGTGTTCAGCTGAGAGCTTCCCTCGTATCAGGGTGTGGTGATGATCGACAATCTGGGCTGGAGGATACATGACAATTGTTAGACAAGTGTGGTCGTGTCTCTTTCTGTATGTGGTCACTGAGGCGGTTACCGCGTTGTAGAACTCCAACAAATTGAACAAATTGAACAAATTGAACGGAGAAAAACATCATAATTTCAACGAGGCGTCAAGCCAATGCCCTTTTATAGTATAGGATTAAAGTGAATGAGTGAATTCCCCCTTACAGATCTAGTTGGAGGGTAGCACCGGGGGGGGGGGGGGGGGGGAAGAATGTTCAACTCCATTGTGGCCTACATCACTCATGGACCAGATTCAATTCGAGTCAATTGGGATATTCTGCGATTGGACAGGACAAAATGCTCAGTTAAAGAGCGATTTATTTTTTCCCCAATCCTTCGAAGCCGCTCTTAGCGAAATTGAAGGAAAATTTCGATTGCGGAAGGGTATAGTATAGTGTAGTGTGAGGTCCGAATTGAGTCTGCAGTCAATTCTGTGGAGAAGAAAAATCCCTCATGGTCCCTCATGGCCGGGGATAAACACCGCACTTTCGTGGCTGTGTACTTTTCTTTAATTTTTTGTTCTACTTTGCCTTTTTTAGGAAATGTGCGGCATTTGTTCTTATCTTTTTACTAAAAAGCAAGAAATCTCTTCTGTTTCATATCCACGGAGACTCGTTGCTGAACCAGAGGGGACGAGTTAGGGCTGTGTTCTGTATTGTCATAGATCCATGGTTTCAAATTAATGATTGGCTATGGGGCCTCTTTCATGGTAATATTACCCTAAATCTTGTATATGTATGTAATATATATAGCACAATGACAGCTGATGGGTGTATCGATATATAAGGTACCATCTGTTTGTAATACCTAGCTCTAATATGCAAGCCTCAGTTGCTCATACAGCTGTGGACCCTTACATGTATGGATGGGATCTTCCCTTTATTCCCTCAATTTTCCAGAACCGGCAGGTCCCTCGTGGACTCGCGTGGCTGCGTGATACATCTCTTGCGTCAGGGAGAACCTTCCCAATTCATATCTGAGCTTAACCAGCTTGAGTTTAGGCATATTGGAGCCTCCCACCTGCGCACACCCTGGTGCCTATATAAAAGGCTGAGGGTCGTACACCTATTTTTTCTTTAACCCTTCAGCTACTCTTCGTCGGTGCACTTATTAGTCTCTGCCTCCCCTCCAGGGCTATCGACACTCTTGAAGTGCTCTGATTTAGTGTCTGTCTTCTTTAGGCTCTCCTCTTCTCATACTCTTACCGTCCTCTGACCATCCTCTCCCACCCACCTTCTGATCAACCCATGGCGCCCATCAGTTCAGATAACAGCAAGACCGACATCGATGTCGAGTCAGAAGGCGATACGCTCAAAAATGATGAGCGCACTGGACGTTCCAGGCAGATAACCTTCGAGGGGTCTACCTCCGCAGAGGGGGCTCGGTCTATCTACCAGCCCACTCAGATCAATCGGACCCGTTCGATAAGCCGCGATACCATTCATAGCACCAGAAGCAGCATTCAGGGAATGCCCGAACTGCCAATTGAGTTCCGAACCATCTCCATCCAGATTTCGGAATCCCAGAACGCTCCCAAGGAGGCTATTGTCCAAACAAAGGAGAAGCAGCCCCACCAAGATTATTTCGAGAGCTTGGACTTCCATATTATATCCACCGACAGCCTGTGTCGAGAATTCAACGTCGATCAGCGTACTGGGCTAAGCTCGTCCTCTGCAGCCACACGTTTGCAGCGAGACGGCAAGAACATCATTGCCCACCATGGGGAGAACTATTTCAAAAAGATCTTCTTCTACATCTTTGGTGGATTCTGCTCTGTTCTTTGGGTCGGAGTCATCATCTTCTTCATTTGCTGGAAACCTCTCAGCAACCCTCCCTCGGCTCAAAACCTTTCGCTGGCTGTCCTAATTCTGATCGTCATTGCCTTACAAGCAAGCTTCTCAGCTTTCCAGGATTGGTCCACGAAGCGTGTCATGAACTCGATCTTAGATCTCCTCCCCGCAGAAGCCATGGTAATGCGGGATGGGAAACTCATTCATCTCCCTGCTACGGAACTGGTCGCTGGTGATATTGTTCACATTGGAATTGGAAACAAAGTCCCAGCTGACATGCGCCTTTTGTCCAGCTCGGGCGATGTTCGCTTTGACCGTGCTATTCTGACAGGCGAGTCGGACGAGGTTGAAGGCGCCATTGATTGCACCGAGACCAACTTTTTGGAGACTCGCAATATTGCTCTCATGGGAACCGGCGTCACTAATGGCAATGCTATTGGAATTGTCGTTTTGACCGGCTCTCGCACCGTGATGGGCCGTATTGCGTCGATGACAGCTGGTGTCAAGCAGAAGACAACCTTGATCCAACGCGAGATCAATCGCTTCGTCACAATTATTGTCATTCTTACATTGTTCTTGGCTTTACTGATCCTGTTCACCTGGCTAGGATGGCTGCGCAAGGATCACCCTTCCTACATGAGTGTTGTAGCCATGTTGAACAATGTCATGGGGTGTGTTGTTGCCTTCATCCCCGAGGGAATGCCTGTCGCCGTCGCATTGACCCTTATGATGATTGCCAAGCGGATGAAACATACCAACATTTTGCCCAAGGGACTTGCAACCGTTGAAACTCTGGGCTGTGTGAATGTACTCTGCTCCGACAAGACTGGCACTCTCACTCAAAATCGCATGTTCGTCAAGTCACTCGGAATGGTCGACTGGGAATATAACCTCGAGGATTTAGCTCCTAGCGAGTCTGGCACTGTTGATCTTCCCGGCGGCCTAAAGAATATGCTGCAGGCATCTATTCTGTGCAATGATGCCATGTTCGACCCTACTACGATGGATATGCCCGTTAATGAACGTGCCGTCAATGGCAATGCTACAGATGCAGCAGTTTTGAGACTGGGTGACAGTGTTGGATTAAACTCCCCGACTGCCCTGGCTGCATATGAACGTGTGCATCAGATTCCATTCAACTCGAAGAACAAGTGGATGCTCACCCTGCATCGTGATCCCAAATCTACCAAGGAGTTCATTCTCTACGTTAAGGGAGCACCGGATGTGCTGTTGGATCGTTGCACCAGTTATTGGTCTGTCGTTCACAATGCAGTTCGTCCACTAGATGTCGGGGCGCGGGAAAAGTTCTCCAACTTCCAGGCTAAACTTTCACGTCGCGCAGAGCGGGTGATTGTCATCTGCCAGCGTCGTTACATCCCACACTCTGCTCCTGGCTCCAATGATTTCAGTAATGAAATGCTAGACCACGGTGTGCAGGATCTCACAATCCTCGGTATCTTTGGTATTATTGATCCGCCACGCCCGGAGACAGCCTCGACTGTCGCAGCTTGCCGTAAGGCGGGTATCCGTTTCTTCATGGTTACCGGTGACTTCGGATTGACCGCAGCTGCCATCGCTCGTGAGATTGGAATCTATGATGGACAAGCTGAGCCAGACACCATCGAAGAGCTGAGGTATAGCCTCGACCCATCAATGGAAGTCAAAGTTCCCAAGTCTCGACACAGCCTGCTTCTTGAAGGTCCCAACTTGTCAGCGTTGACTTCAGAAGACTGGGAAACAGTCTGCGGATACGATGAGATTGTTTTCGCTCGCACCACCCCTGAGCAAAAGCTTCGCATTGTGACAGAACTTCAAGCTCGCGGTTCCGTGGTTGCTGTGACAGGTGATGGTGTCAATGATGCGCCAGCCCTACGCGCAGCAGACGTAGGTATTGCAGTCGGATCCGGCAGCGATGTGGCAATTGAAGCAGCTGATCTGGTGCTCTTGGACAAGTTCGACTCTATCATTGAGGCCATTCGCCTTGGTCGGTTAGTCTTTCAGAATTTGCAAAAGGTCATCGCCTACCTGCTTCCAGCAGGTAGTTGGTCTGAGATCTGGCCCGTGATCATGAACGTTTTCTTTGGCTGTCCTTCTCCACTAAGCACATTCCTCATGATCATCGTCTGTGTGTTCACCGATCTGTTCCTATCTCTTTCAATCATCATGGAGAAAGAAGAATTCGACCTCCTCAGCCTCCCCCCACGCCGTCCAACCAAAGACCACCTCATCAACCTCCGCATCTACGGTCAGTCGTACTTGTTCGTCGGTGTGATGGAAGCCTTCAGTGCCCACTCCATGTTCTTCCTATACATGTGGCGTCACGCCGGTATCCCTTTCTCCGACCTGATCTTTGCATTCGAGGGCTATGCCGAAGGCTTCCACGGATATACCGAGGATGAATTGAACCACTTCATCAGCGTAGGCCAGTGTGTTTACTTCGTGACTCTGGTCATCATGCAATGGGGCAACATCTTGTCTGTCCGCAGCAAGCGCATGTCCATCCTACAAGCCGATCCGATCCGTCCAGCCCGCCGCAACCCATGGCTGCCACTGGCGATTCTAATTTCGTTCATCATCGCTATCTTCGTCACTGAAGTCCCCGGCCTCCAGACTCTCTTTAGCACCGCCTCAGTCCCAATCGAGTTCTGGTGCATTCCTCTTGGTCTTGCAATGGGCGTCCTCTGTATGGATGAACTGCGCAAGGTCTTGGTCCGGATGTTCCCGAAGGGACCTGTGGCCTGGGCTTCGTGGTAATGGGGTCTTTGAAAATGATTGTCTGTGAAAGAAAGAAGAAAAAAAAAACCCCCAAAAAAAACTAACTAATGAAAAAGAAAACCAAGCTGGCTGTAAATCCAACAGGAAATTGGTCACATCATACATACACTTATCATGGAGCAGATTGGATTGCTTCATTACCTGGTACCCCTACCTCTTGGTACTTTTTTGGTCATTTGTAATTACAAGCAATATTTCAATGTTGATTTCCTTGCCACTATGATTTCATGGCTTTACCGAAAGAAACGTGAAAGATGCCAATTGAGCGTGTTGCTCAGGATTTAATGAACATAACTACTTATCAAAAAATGTGATATTTGACACATATCCCTTTCCTAGATGTAGTCTATCCTCTTCCGGGGTTTGCTTTTATTATAAACCTATGTAGCTATATTATGTGTGTCGGGGTCTAGCCCCTAGCCACTCAAGATATGGTCCGGTAGTTGGCTCACGGCCTAGATAACCTCTCGAAGTCTTCATCTCAGACTGGCTCGCGCCTAGACGAAGAATCATGTCACGATATCGTCGCCCAGCCTCTTGGCTCATTGTGTCCTGGCGAAAGTCTCGAAAATATCAAAACAAGAACCGTGCCTCTGAGTATGTCGTTAGTTTTCTGAAGCTAAAACAGGCTGAGGGAAAAGCACGCAGTAGAGTACGTACAATAGGTAATTGTAGTATCTAACATCATATCTGTTAATCACGTTTCGGAAAGTTGCCTGGCCATGGCCCCATTCCCACCCCGAGGAGCTATACCCAACACTGCGGTATAGGGTGTCGCTACTACATAAGCCAAACAACGCTACCTTTTCATCCTTCACGCGTCGTTAGATGCATCAGTCAGTTACCTCCACCTACCCCTGGAATACAACACTACCTCCCAAGTATGAAAATGTAATATGTTTCGCTGGAATGATAGAAAGACTGAAAAAAGACCTGAATTGCTTGTAATACCACTAAACAAGTACGTACCAACAATGAAAAAACAGTGATTGCATCAGGGCATGAAAGTCAGGATGGCTAAAAATACAAGATGAAGTAGGAAAAGCAGGAAGTGAAAAAAGACCAATCAATGAGCTAAGAATATTGGGGTTCCTGGATGTGAAAAAAAGAAGATAGATAATATAATGAGAAGACAGAAACGAATGGTTCTCAGGCAGTCCATGATATAGAGAATAGACAAAGCGGCTGGGCAGCGAATGACAAGTGTGTATACGGGGTAGAGAATGGATGGTAAGACAAGTAGGCACGTTGGCTAGGGTCTGATGTCGTACTATGCATTCTCTGGGATAGCGAGTGGATATCAAGATGGATGAAGCATCGTGGATGAGGGGTATGGCGAGGAGGAAAAATGAAGAACATAAGGCTGGGGTTAAAGTGAAGGCGCAATTAAACACAGCCCGTGTCATACCCAGCAAGTTTACTGAGCTTGCTCAGTTGGTTGAATTGGCTGGCGCACCTTCCCAGCCTCTCGGACGACCTTCATAAACCCATCCTCGTTGCCTGCAGCAGTAAGAACCCAATAATCACCAACGCCAGGGTTCTCAATCTGCCCGCCGCCAAAGCCAGCTGCAGCAGGGGCGCTGTGTCGCTCTTTGGGTTTCTGGGTATTTGCTCCATGATTGCGGGGACCCCAGCCCAGCACGTTGCGCACAGCAAGACGGGACTGGTCATCAGTCTGGTGGAAGGAGAACAGCTGGGCCTGGAGACAACCCAGAATGGCGACGGCGGAGCGGATCATGATGCGGTCGCCCTCGAAGACCCAGCAGTCCCAGACGCGGGAGATGCGCTCGAGGTCCAGGCCGTTTGTCAACAGCGAGCGGAAGATAGGCTCCCAGATCTCTGCCTCGGAGAAGTGGAGGGTTTCCGTTAGATGAGTGTGCAGACGGGGGAACTTGTAGCGCAAGGTGTCTGAGGCCAACATGTAGGAGCGAGCCATGGCGCCGCGGTCCCAAGTGAGGAATGCGACGGGTAAAGGACGGTTGAGCGCGTTGGCCATGGCGAGGAAGGCGGAAGCGGGGGTAGGGAATTGCAAAAGGAGGAGGGCAGCGATGGTGTGCAGGCCGTGGATGTAGCCGACGTCGCTCCGGTACATGCAATATGCTTTCAGGACGTCAACGAGGGTTTCCCGTAGTGGACCGCCTTCTTGGAAGATGTTCAGATCTGGGAAGGCCTTGGGCACGTCTGTTTCGATTGCCTCAAAGCAGTCTAGCAGTCGTTTGTTGTTTTCGCTTTCTCCATCCTTCTGGCTTTGGAGATCCTTGGCTCGGTGAAGCGCTTTGGTAAAGGTTTCCTCGGTTAATGCTAGTTCATTGCCAATAGCTCGCTCCCATATAGTGCCCCGATTGCGAGGCGGAATTCCCCGCCACCATAACTCGCGAATTCGGGGCTCGCGGAGAGCGAGCTCCCAATTCGGATATACGTATTCATCCCATATGTTCTGTAGTGTTGCTCGGGTGTTGTCCTTTTCACACTGCGCATTTGCAACCTTAGCAGCTTTGCGTTTCTCTGAAATACCAATTAGAAGGCTCACAATACTACAGGATCCTGTCTGAGCACATACCGAGTTCTCGAGACTGGGCCATCATTTGCTGATACTGCCTCAGGTGCCTTTTCTCCTCCTTCTGGTCCTTAGGCGGAAGCCAGCTTGGGCGTGTCCGCGATAGGACCTTTTCTTTCTCCTTGCTAATTGGCAGCGGATCGATCATGGTATTGGATTTCTGCAGAGGCGGTAAAGCGACAGCATCACGAGATGCGCGATGCGAGTCCTCGCTGGACTTCCGCGAAGCACCAGTTTGAACATTCTCCTCCCGCTTGCGGTCTTTATCATCAGCATGCAGCTCCAGAGCTTCAGTGATGATCTTTGCTTCCTCGGACAAGTCTGATAGATAACTGTTGTATGAGTAGGTGCGAGGGTTGCGTGGCGAGAGCTGTCCACGCTCCGGTCCTGCGGAGCTCGATCGTTGTATACGCTTCATGCGGGATGCCTTAGCCGTGTTTTCGGGTGACGCTGGTTTATCGCTTCCCGCTACGGTGTGCTGGATAGGCAGAGGCCGCCGCCCGGGGCTGCGACCATTTGGACTGGCGGACCGTGATGGAGCCCGTTCTTGGGCTGGCCGCGGAGAAATAGGAATGTTCCACAGACTAGCATCGTCCGGTAGTTCATCGTCCGAATCATGGTATTCTTCTTCCAAGTCTTTAAGCGACTTGCGATTCGGTTGCCATGTTTGTTTCTGGATGGGTACTCGTGCGGATACCGGAGACAGACCTAGGCTGGTGCTCGAGGTGGAGCGAGTGGATGTCGGCCGGAGTGGTGAGACAGATCGTGAACGGCGAGCTTGCGACGGTGTCAAACCAGGTGACTGCAATGTGTTGCTCGAATGTGTCCGGTTTGCAGCTCTCGCCGTGAGGGAGCCTGCCGGCGCATTGGCCGATCCACTGTGAATCGGAGGTAGGGGGCTTCGCTTGCGAGGCTTTGGGGCCGCAGTCAAGTCGCGAGTCGAGGTCGCGGGGACTTTGCTTGACATTCTGGGGGCGGGCGACCGTGACATTACCCCAGAGCGGCCGTAGGAGCCTGGTGGATCTGCGTATGACAAGTCGGCGTCATCTTCCAAGCCAATATCTTCAAAATTCGAGATGTCGGTAAAGATACTGTCCGGACCGTCCAGGTGGGAGGAAGAATGAAACGAGGAGGATTTGGAGGATTTGGACCCGGAGAGCTCGGGGGGAGAATTGGGTATCGGTAAAACGGTGGTCATGATCTCATGTAATTATTCAGACGTATTGATCCCCCACAATTCTGATCTACCCGGGAGAAAAAAACAGAGTGGGTGGAAATCAACGGGATAGCCGGAAGGGGTCAACAACAAACGCGAGGATCGGGGTTTTTGGATGAGAGTGGTCGATAGGTTTCAGACAGGAAACAATAACACCGCAATAGAGGTCGATTAATGTAGAAGCGAATTGCAGGCACAGCCGCAGCCTGATGAAATCCAGATCAGGTGTTGTAAAGAGGGATCAGGAGAGAAGATTACGGGGTGACCATTGGAGACCAGGGGGGTTGGAGTGTAAACAAAAAAGGTGAGAATGAGTGTGGGGGGGTTGAAAGTGAGTAGAAAAGAAGTAAAAGATTCAAACGAGAGACGAAGACAAGAAATTCCAAAGAAAGTGAAAAAGAAGAAACCGTGATGCTCAAGTCTGCAAGCGGAGAGCCTCAGGCAGTGCCGCACTCGGTCTGGCCGAGAACAGGGGGGTACCTCGGGGATACTTTACGGCACTAGTACAAAAGGGGTGATCAAGAAGTACCGATTAAGTATTTAATACATTTCTGGAGATAAACCGATCTCTGCCTAGATGGGAAGGGATAGACTTACACAGCCTTGAAAGACTCTGAACACAGATATATGGACCTAAACCCCTGAACCATGATCACTTCTAGTCGGATCCAGTTGGATTCATGTCCAGGACGGGCTGGATAGACGTGGCACCGTATGTAACCTACAGTGTTTAACTGGCCCTAGGAGATAGTGTACGATTGTACATTGTACAAGTTGGGAGCAATTGATCGTACAATTACACCGATTATTTGGATCCGCCGACATTACAATCCACAGTCCAACACTTTAGAATTATTCTAGAATCGCCATTCCTGAAACATCGCATTTCCCTTCTTCACAACCTGCGTCATCCTTAAAGCCTCGGAATCTGATGTGGGTCGAGCATCTTTGATCAGCGCGTCTAGCCAGCGGAGCACCATCACATACCGCGTTTGCTTGCGCTTCAAAACAAACCGAAACGCTGCAGAAGCCAGATACTGCAGATGAGATCGCTGGACGAAACACGAGAATGAAGACTCTGAATTACTAGCACGCCTGGCCTGGATCGTGCCATTCGTCTGTGAAATTAGATCGTGGATAGTCTGTGTTATGATCGCTGGGCCGGGATGCGCACGGCCCTGAAGTGACTTCATGTAGCGGTACATCTTCATGGCAGAAGTGATGAAGCTGCAGTAGAGATTGGCTAGCACAACTGCGCGCGAGTTGTGCCCGTCATCGATGTACATGGCATGTAGCTGCAGACGGAATGAGGAGAGCACTTTACGATGAAAGGTGCGACCGGGGAGGCGGGTGGCCTCAACGGTTAAGGTGTTGGAAAGAGTCGCAGCAGCTGACTCGCCGCCCTCTAAGATGCGGTCTCGATCGCGGTGGAGTTCTAGCGTACGGGTGTCTATAAGACTACCACAGTACGGGAATAAAGGGGTCCCTTCTAGTCTGGGGAGAAAAATCCCATCAACTGCTGCGCTGAAATTGGCCATGCTTTTGGCTGGATTGACTTGTACGCCGTACGCGGGTTGGCCCCGGATCATTATTTCCAGGAACTGCATTGCCATGGCTGCATCCGGTGTGATCAGGAGGAAGTCGTCCACGAGTCGCAGGAGTAGAGAATCCTCGGGTTTGATAAAACCTAGTACTTTTCGCTCTAGCTCAGCGTAGAAGAAATTGCAAAGGATGCTGGACAGCACGGAGCCTTGAGGGATGCCGTTGCGTTGGCGGAAATATTTCTTGCCTATCTTCACAAGGTTGTGCCGAACATGTTCATCGAGGAGGGCCAGAAGACTATTAGTATCATGATTTTTCTGAGCTATAGAGTCAACAAAAACGGTATTGGCCTTTCGCGTCGTGCCTCCACTGTTGACGTAATCGGGTAGGTGTTGCGGTCTCGTCGCAGGCGCAGCGCGGCCCATAAACCTTCGTGTGGGCTTCCCGTTTTGCGTAGTTGGGGCGGGTGGTTGAAATTCGACGTGCTTTGAGATGCGGTAGCTCTCTTCAGAGACCAGCTCTTCGATCAGATCAAGCAACTTTTTTTGGGGGATGGTATCAAAACAAGCTTTGATGTCAAGCTTGACAAAGTACATCTGTGGGAGCTTGGATTTCGATGATTTAGGACCCGAGAGCAGCCGTTTGGACAATTGTTCTTTGTACGCCTTCAATCGGCGGTGCATGTCTCCAATGGAGAGCATTGACGAACCCAATTTGGCCGGAGCTTGCTGTCGCTCGTAGGTCAGCATGTTATAGATAGGTGTAATAGTTGTATTGATGCTGGCGGCAAGGTACGTGCGCCGTTTTCCCCATGACGATTTCTTCAAAGCTCGTTTGCGAAGATTCAAGATGGGCCGGAGGCCTGTAGATTTGGGAAGCAAACGGAGAGCACCGAACCCAAGAGATCGCCGTGCCAGCACACGTTGGGCTTGATCTGGTTCGAGTTCCTCGAACATCGTTGCCTTCAACTCCCCGAAAGGTTGCTGGGTCAATTGCTGCCACATATCATGGCGGAAATAGAAAAGGCGGTTTCGGTGCGTTTGAGACTCGGTGACATAGAAGTGCGAACGAATGAGAGGAATAAGAATTGAATCAAAAATCCAAAACATGAATTCGTGAAATAGTTCGGTGCGTTTGTGGAAGTCAGACAAGGCGATCTTCGATCTTGTCTCAGATGATGAATTAGTCTGGACCTGGGGTGGTTCGAGCCAAGGAAAGCTTGTTACCTAGCGTGTCGATCAGTACGGCATTGTCTCAGATGATTAGTCCAGTGCAAACGATGACTTACCTTGATACCTTTGCATACTTCGTGCAGACTTAGACTCTCGAATCGACGTAATTTGATAAAACGGTCAACATGTCTGAGAACAAGCTTTAAGTTCAAAGCGCCATCCGGACCAACCCCCCAAAATTGTCGAGGGATCAATTTCTGGATCACCGCTCGACAAAAAGCTGAGACGGAAGAAGCCGGAGTCGCATAATCAGTTAGACTGACTTGAGTTTTTCGAGCCACTGGTTTCTCGGCATCGATGCCACAAGATGCGTCGACAGTGATGTGCGACTCTAATCTCGAACCATCACTTGAGGTTTGTGCCGAACTATCACTTGACGATGGGTGATTAATTTGCACCTGTGTTACTAAATTTGACTGGAGAGAGGAGATAGGCTCGCTTTTGTTGGCATCAGGTGTGGAGGCAAACGCGCCAAGTCTCCCAGGTCCGGTTTGCTGCCAAAGGTCAGTACACAATCCTAGCCATTGTAAACAAAAGTGTCTCACTTCGGTTGGACAATAGTATCGCAGCAACTCTCCATAGGAGCATTGTGCGTTGCGGTTCCGGAGCTTCCGGACAAGCTCTATAGTAATTCCACGAAGCCTCTTAGGTACCTTGACACCACAATCTGCGTCTGCGAATTCATTCTTGGGTTGGGGCCGCTGGAGTCGTTTCTCTTCTTCCAAACGAGATATCTCACTCTCACGAAACATGAAAGTCTTCGAGTCATCCATGATGTTGCAGTTATCCGAGTCCAGCTTAAACACATTCCGCAGGCCAAATTGCCGGGGAAAGATGTACTTCATTACATGGACTGTTTCTGCCATTGAATCAAGTGATGAGAAGCGGCTAAGAACATCTAGAATGGAGATTAGTTTAAACCTAGAATTCGATATTCAAACGGCGAAGCACGTACGTGCCTGTCCTAGTCCAGAAGGTACTTTCTTGTTGGACTCGACGCGTCCATAGAGAATACGCCGTCGAAGAAACACAATGCTGTTCGGACTTTGGAGTGTCTTATCGGAATTCCGTGTACGATCGGCTTTCTCTTTGGGGGTTCTCTGATCAGTGGTAGGCATTGGGTTTTGTGCTGTAGTCGCAGACCCATTGGCTCCCGAGGACGCATCGCTCAAAGGCTCGAGTACCGAGAGCGGCAGGCCTAGAGAAAGATCAGCTAATTAGGCTCAAGTCCCTCTCCACACCTTAACAAAACCATACCACTGAGTTGGTAGTATATTCTCCTTCGAGCGTCAATAGCGGCAAAAACTCCGCAATCGAAAAGGAGTTGCATCATAATTTCCTCGCCATTACTACCAAGTAAGCCGAGGACCTCTGTCCATGCACCCTCTTTGAGAACTCGCACATTCTGATTCGGGAATTGTTGAGCATTTTGCCCATTATACGGGCGTTGGAAGCCATGCGTCAGCAAATGCTCGGGCCTTTGGTAGGAGCCATGGCTCTGACTAAAGAGTTTCCAGATCACAAAATCAACCACCTGCAACAAGGGTTAGCAGTCGGACACCTAGAAATAATTCGCACATCATGGGCGCACTTCGGACTGCGGACAGGTCGGCCCCGTATCGGTGCTGACGAGACTCGGCCGCAATTGAGACTCATTAAAAGATGAGTATTGCTTTTGTCGCTCCGAATTGAGAGTGGGAGAAGATTCCTTCAGCACACCCACCAGGGTAAAGTCTAGCAGCTGCGCCAATGTTTGGGATGTTTGGGATTGTGTATTGTGGTGTTGGTCTTCACGCGAGCCCAGTGTTAGGATGCGACGCCGACGCGACTTGGAGGTCACGGGAAGTTGCTGGAGCAGGTACTCCCGCAAGGATACGACATGCTGGTAGTACAGGGAGATAACGGGATGGCTTGTTTTTGTTTCCAGGGAAATTGGCGCGTGGGGGGTTCTGAAACGGCGGGGAGATGTGGTGATACCCATGTGAGACGAGGACGTGGGCCCGTCCTTGATGGGTCGTTTCCGCTTCTTGCCCATGTTAGGTGATTTGAGGTGTAATTTCTGCTCAGATCCTATGGTTTCCAATGTTGGTTTTACTCCAATGCGTGTCGATAGATTTAGGCGACGAGTTCCCCGACGCGCGACGCGTCAAGGTTCCGCAGCAAGCAGGAAGTTCGGATATGTGAATCCTCCCTAGCTTTCTCGAATTCGGGCACCTTCCTAGTATTAGTTTTTACACATGGATGATCAACTGTTGAAGGTCTCTGTATACATAGAAAGTACCTAGGTATAATAAAGTGTTACAACATAAGAGCCTTCACGTGAAACAGGAACAGGGCAGGAACCAATCAAGGCTACCAATTAAACATCGGAGTGAACCATGGAACGGGCGGTCTAGATACCTGGCCATTGCGTCTCCACTGCGTCATCCATGGGCCGAGGGATTAATCTTGTTCCTGAAGAGAAACAATATACATAGGTTTTAGTTACGGTATTGTAGGTGTTGAATATATGTGAAAGTATTTCACTAGCTACAGTGTAGACAGGAATACATACAAGAAAATATATGTATACAATTACCCATATTGTACATACAGTACAGCCCTACAAAGTGTAACAATGAACAAAAGACAAAGAAATCCAAATCCACGACATCCACGACATCCACGAAATCCACGAAATTCACGAAATCCACTTCCCAAATCCAGTTTCACCTTAAAACATATTATCCACCCCAATTTCTTTCTTCTCATCTCTTCTCTTTCTTCTTTTCGAACTCATCAATTTCATTTATCCAACACAAGCCAAAAATAGATCGACACTGTAACTTCACATTGTCACTAGTGTATGTCAGCCCGTCAAAATGGATTGGCCCCGGAGAGCTAACAAACCGGCCCACCGCTAAGATTCGCTTTCAAACCCCTCAACTACCAGGTCCCATCACCTATCAGCGTCCGCTGCTGCTAGACAAAACGTCAGTCCTGAGCTCGACCCTCCTATTTGTCCTTCCCCTCGCTAGAGTGTAATTTCGGCAACTGGCCGATCATCGATCTCACCACTTTACCCTCCTCCGATCCCTCCGATCCGAACTCCATTCAAACATCTTCGTTTTAGGTTCGACGGGGGACATATCCCCTCGATATCGCGGTGGTTTTTTTTTTGTTTTGCGAGTGTCTCAAATATGAATGCTGAATGGGTGTGCGCCACCCGAGAGGATTGCTTTGTAGCCTGAATCGACTCACCTGCGACATTCCCGTTGGGCGACCATCCTGGAACAACGCACCAGCTCAACCCGCCAAGAACCGAAAGGTCGCGATCAGTCCACGTCGACCTGTCGGCCTGAAGCATGCAAGATGTCTGGCGGTGACGAGCAGGGTTTTGATGTCCGGTATCGCGACCCGCCTCCGTTTGGGCGACAATCGTCGGCTCCGGTATTTGGCCAATCTGTCAATGGTCACACTACCACTTCTTTAGGTGACTCGCCGACCGTCTCTTTCTCCCCCCAGGCACAATCATCGACCACGTATTCTCCACTACCGTCGGGCTTCATTCGATCCCATAATCCCTCCACTTCCACGGATCATCTGTCGAGCGATCAATTGGAAGACCGTAGAGGGGAGTCTCCAGACCCTGCTGACTATTATCGCCAGCGTGGATCCCTGCCAGGAACTTCATCCAATGTAAGAGAGGGGTTCGGCGATGTAAGAACGGGCATGGCTGCGGCCGATTATCCTGCAGTCGGTGACAAAGTGTCACCCCTGCCAACAAACATGTTGGAGTCATCGCGTGTTAGACGTCAACCATATCGTTCAACATCAGATTCTCCAACATTAGGAGCTCCCTCGGCCAACATACCCCCATTACATACGAACGCAAGGTCACGGCAGCCCTCATTCAAAGATCTTGTCAACAAGTTCAACAAAACCTCTGATCAGATCCTCCCTTTGCCCTCTATTTCTCGTCCAATCTCAAGGGCACCGAGCCCTTCCGGAAGTGTTGACGGAGAGCGAAATCGGGTGTTACCACGGCATCGTCAGTATCGTGATTCTCTACCAGAGTCAATCACCAGCAATCCTCGAGCGCTAGTTGATTCGACCCCATCGTCGCCAGAGACAGATAGATTCGGTCCACCCCTAGGCACAAAGAGTGTTATTCCGCCGCCTCTGTTCCAACGGACCACAGAGTCCCATCCTCATCGGCCATTATTTGATGAACTGTTGCCAATCAACACACAATTGAACAACGGAGTCATATCGCGTCTACAACAACGCCGCGGGTCGGATGGAAGCCTTCCAAGCCCAAACCCGGCCTTCCTTGACCATCGCGATCGATATCCCACAAAAACACCACTCACACCTACTGCATGGTATCTTGGACACACAACTTCTTTGGAGGCAGTTCACGCTGGGATAAATACCACTGGCAAACATCGCCGGGTTCAAAGTGACTTGGATAAAACAAGAGAACCCCTTGCAGAACCGTGGAATCCTGAAATGGCCGTACCCGCGCCCTTGCTGCGGACCAAGCCCGATCATGGATCGCCCCCGGGCAGTCCAAATTCCAAGTCTCGCATTCCTGTCTCCTCGCACCGTCTCGTCACTGCTTCCGGTCCCGAAAGCTTATCACCATCCTCCAATCCAACCTTCAGCAGCCGATCCGCCGCCATTACCTCGCCGCCCAAGGGCAGTAGCCGCCTTCCTATTCCGTCAGCTAAACAAAGTCCTCACCGCATGCCAGCAGATGATCCCGCTTCGTTCGCGACAACCTCGCGTGGTAGGCGGGATCTAGCAATCGGCCGAACACGCAATCAATTGTCCGAATCCAGTCGGCGACTTCAGGCCTACATCGCTGAGCCACCACCTAAAAAGTCGCCTACGTTGCGCAGTTCACGACCCCGACAACCCGTTTCACATGATGCCGCGGTCTCTCCACGCTCCAAAATCGGAGATAGAGTTTTAAATTTACAGAAACACGCCACCCACAGTGACTCGCGGTCTCGTCCTGATCGAAAATTACCTGAATTGGGTAAGGTTGATTTTGACGCTCGTCGCCGGCACATTCAACAGGCAATCAACCGACATTCAAGCAACCCAGGCGTTCAAGGGAACCAGAATGACAGAGGACCGGACAGATCAGCTGCTGCAAAGCTTCGACGTCACGCTTTGGTGCGAGAGCAGGAGACACATAAAGATTCCAAGCAATTGATGGATGAACCTACAATTACCCCTAACCCGCCTGTAACCAACGCCCCGAAATCCGATGAGATGGCTACGATGATCAAAGAGTCGACCGGTTCGGTTGATTACAAGGAAAATAGGGCTCAAGCCGTTCCTAGGCTGCATCTCAACACTGCCTTGCCGGCTTCGGATATGGCAGCGCCACACACAACAATGGACTCTCCAACTCTTGGCCTCCCACAGGGTGTGAATTCAACCACTTCGGGTGAGGGACGGCCTACCAATGAAGACACGACACACTCGGGTGCCGCATCGGACTCCGACGGTACCCATGTCACTACTTTTGATCCTGAGCCGCAGTCCGGGCTGCTGCTGCGCAATCCCAGCGTTTCTCATCGAACTATTCTGGAACAAATAATGCAAATCCGCGGGTCCAGTCCGAGTGACGACTCATGCGACGAACCTGATTGCAGTCTTTCAGAGAACGACGACAGAGAGTCCATCCAGATTATGCTTGGAGATACGACCTACTACAACTCGTCTAGTAGCACCAATACTCAAGAGCCTGAGCGTGTATCAATGAACCAGGCTCAAAATGGGACTCATCTTCACAACCGATGGAGTATGAGTTCATGGTCCTCTGGACAAAACCAACATTCCACCTGTGACGAGCAGTGTGACGAGAGTGGAGATGATTATCTCCTACAAGGCCGTGAAACAGAACCACCAACTGAAACTTGTTCAGCTGTCTCAACAAGGCCAGCTTCAATAGCGGACGATGAACCACCCGCTCCAATTCAGGACCACGGCGTAATGGGACCGAATACACTTCAGACATCTGAGCAGTTTCGATCCAATGCCTTCTCTACTCCACCAAGCTTGGCTAGATTGGGCAGATGGGATTCGAAGCGTGTCACTCAGCTCTACCTGGAGGAGTTGACGCGAGGCAGGAGCCACCACCCTGGCTCATCAATCCACCCCTCATCCGAGCCTCGATCTCATCCCACTGATACACGTACAGATGGGCGACCCGATAGTCTGACTGACGATCCAGTTGTCGTTCCAGGATTCAAGGATTTCCAGACATCAGATAGACTCTCACACGCGGCTAGTTTGGTTGGGCGTGATGATTGGGAACATGCATCTCCTTCCATCATGGACTGGATGCAGGTCGCGGCTGAAGATGAGGTTTTGACCCCTAACACCGAAACCGATGGCATGCGTACTGAAGGGGTGCTCACACCCCGTCTGGTACCTTCGGCACACCACGACGCTGGTACATCAAGTACGAATAATGGCCTTGGAGTCTCCGTTGATATCCAAGCTTCCAACGAGCAGACTCAGTCTCATGTTTATTCTTCATCGGCATTCATCCCGCCCTCAACAACGCCCCCAGCCGATAATGAGCCTCTTGGAGGTCAGCCATCGGGATACGTTGGACTCAATCGCAGTACGCAGGCTGCTCCTAGAGGTCTGGGACACAGCCCGGGTAGCAGTCAGGACTCTTCTTTCCGAAATTTGGAGTCTATTCAATCTACTGTGGCCGCTGACTCCTCCGCTACTTCACTTGTTCCGTCCACCGAGCAAACCTTCCGTGTTGAGCCGAAGGACTCGCCTTCTCCAGAACAACGACGTCTCAAGAAGCGGCGCCACATAATCAAAGAACTTGTTGATACGGAACATACCTTTGGTCATGATATGATAATCATTGAGGACATCTACAAAAGGACCTCGCTCACGGTTTTAGATCCTGATGATGTCAAGGTTCTCTTCGGCAATTCCGATCAGGTCGCGGCCTTCTCCGACAAGTTCTTGTATGATCTTAAGCAAGCAGCACAAAGCGTCTACGTCATACCAAAGGCTTTGCGATGGACCAGCAAGCGAAAGCGTAACAATCAGCCTGCCGAATCCACAACCCCAGAATCCGATGAAGTAACCGAGCTTGCAGGAATGTCGGAGCTTGAAAAGGATCGCGCGACCTCTGTTGGTCAGATTTTTGTTACCCACATGACGCAGATGGAAAAGGTGTACACCGACTACTTGAAGAACCATGATGCCGCAAACAAGAAACTTCAGATCGTGCAGCGTAGTCCAAAAGTGGGCTTTTGGCTGAGCGAATGTCAGAAGGGTGCTATGGATCTCACGACCGCCTGGGATTTGGACTCTTTGCTCGTTAAACCAGTGCAAAGGATCTTGAAGTATCCCCTTATTCTCCGCGACCTATTGGAGTCAACGCCAAACGACCACCCGGACCGAGCGGCAATTGCCAATGCCCTGGAAGAGGTGACAAATGTTTCTCATCGTATCAACGAGCTGAAAAAACGAGTAGACCTTGTTGGTCAAGCTGTCGGTCGAAAGCGCAACCAGTCCGATGTGCGTACCGGTCTTTCTAAAGCCTTTGGTCGCCGCACGGAGAAATTCAGACAACAAGTTGGCCTCTCCGACTTGTTTGAAGACAAAACCTATGATTCACTAGCGCAGAAACTTAGCGACGGCTATTTTCAGTTGCAGGTTGTCATGCGTGACGCTGAGAGTTACTCCCGGGATGTGCAGCTCTATGTGAATCAGTTCAATGAGTATGCCGATTCGATCGAAGAGATTATTGGCATGTCGCCTTCTCCATATCCACAGTTGGAGAGCAAGTGGCATCAGTTCAAGATGACAGTTCAGGAACTTGTGTCGACTGCTCTGCCAGAACATGTATGTTGTGTCGTTTTTATATTTTGAACAGAATACTAACGTTTATTGCAGCTCGCTGTCGTCCGCAAAACGGTCATCGATCCGATGGTTGAATTACTAGGACTTTACAACGCACCCCAGCGAGTCATGCGGAAGCGCGACAAGCGACTCCCGGAGTATGCACGCTACAAAGCCATCAAAGACCGCGGCGACAAACCGGATAAGAAGACCATCGAGCAGGGCGAGCAGTTCCTAGCTTTGAACGATACTTTGAAGGATGAATTGCCTAAACTATATGCATTGACTTCCAAACTGATGGCGGCGTGTCTGAAGAACTTTGTCGAAATTCAAACTGTGTGGTACAGTGTTCTACAGAAAAAGATTGGTGCTCATGTGGAATTATTCCCCAATGACCTCGACAGGCTCATCAGCGACTTCAATAGTGATCACACTTTGATGGAGGCACGAATGGGGGAGCTAAGCTCCTGCAATGGGTCGATGGTGGCTCATTCGCTCAATTTGGTCCCCCTTTCGCCCAGTGAGCAGCAAAACCCCATGTCGCCTCGCCGTCCTTCTACGGTGAACAGCTCAAATGCGCGACCTGGGTCTATGACTGATGATTCACCAAACATGTCCCGGGATTTCAGCGTCGGCAGCCAATCATTCCAGTCTCCCCAGATGGAAAGCCACTCTAGCCGTAGCAGCCGCTACCGGGCTGATTCCATTCTATCTGGCCGAATGGTCCCAGACACCCCCGGCCAACTGCTGCAACAAGTCACCAGCTCCCCCGCCCCGGTCAGGGCCAGCGACATCGAGCCTTTCCCAAGCCTACCGAGACTCAGTCTAGACACACCTTTCCTCGAGGATGTGATCAACAGCTCCTCGCACTCGAGCAATGTGCCGACTTCCCCGACTGATCGATACTCGGGATTCTTCTCGTCCGCCATGCCCATGTCGGATGCCCCAAGTGATACTGTCGTGGATGGGCACCTTGAACGCAGCACCCCTCCTATGGGCCCTGCGACGTTGTTCTGCGCGGCGAGTGTTTATGACTTTAATATCGACACTCGCACCGAGGGCGGATATCCCTATCTGATCTACGCCTCCGGGGATATTTTCGACGTCATAGGCGAGAAGGGCGAGCTCTGGCTTGCCCGTAATCAGGACGATGCCACCAGAACAGTTGGGTGGATTTGGAACAAGCATTTTGCCCGTCTCGGCAGCTGAATCAAAAAACCTCACGCCATGTTTCCGATGTATTCGCCAAGTGTCTTTTCAAAAATCTGCACGAACACAAAAAGGCATAAAAGGTTCCATACTAACTACTGGATATTACAGGATGATATTCCATGTTTTTTTTACCTGATTTCTTTTCTTTTCTTTTCTTTTTTTCAATGATCTGTTTTCATATTTCTTCAAAATAATACCCCCTGAAGACCCAGGGCAAAACAAAAGTGACTACACTAGTTGCAATGTTGCTGCTTTGTTGCTTCGATCTTGCTTTGGCTTCATTCGGCGTCATCTCATGCTGATGATTTATGGTCGTTTTCTTTTTCTGTTCATTTAAATTGCTTTTCTCTCCCCGTTGTTTTTAGCTGATCTCTCTGTGCATTTCGTCCGATCTCTGTTCCTTTCCTCCCATCTCACTGCATCGTCTGAACCTCTTCTTCTACTGGAGCTCTGGGAGGCACGTTTAGATACCCCTCTTTCTTGTGAATTAAAGTCTTTAATAATAAAATCCTAAGATCCTGCAGACTTATCCAAATGATAGCTTTAAACTTATCAACCTTGGAACATTAGAACAATGGAATGTATTGTCAATGAGCCAGCGTAAATTACAGCCCTGGAGTACTCTCATCCCTTAACAGTTGGTATCCCACTCTACATCACTGGTCGATTAGTGAGTCTCCATACTGACGGCCGCTAGACTAAATTAGCGAACTACAGCCAAGCAATTAACAGAGGATGTACTTGATGGCCCTTTTAGATAGGTTTCCCCGCCACCGCTACTATCCCACACAGTCTATGCCGAGTCCCCCCAGCGCCTGTTGGATCTCGTTAACAGAAGTTGACATAGGCCACCTCAGACCAAGTGTCGGGAATCCTATACATATTTCTATATATTTACTGAATTTGTAGGGTTATATTGAGGTTGTCGGACGTTGTCGATATCGGCCCGAATTCGTGCTGGGGGATGTTACGCAGTGGTTTTATTCCATAGAGCGCATCAAAGATTTTGTAACCCGCCGTGTTTAGCTGTGCCATTTCAAATGGCCCAGGACTCGTGATTGTGATTGGCGAAGTCGAGGAATCTAGAAGGGGTTGGGGTTCTGTTGAATCTACGAGTGTGATGTGTATGCGGCCTCGGCCTAACCTCCCAACTCGGGTGATCTTCCACCACTGCCTAATCTACTTACTCTTACCCTTGGCGTAACTCCTCACCTATTGTCCATAAAGCGCAATTGAAATAGTATCGGCGTTCAAGTATTCACTCGATCCTCCTCCCTTCTCCGCCACCTATCAGGCTGGCGGCCTCCCCCTCCGAAGCGCCCAATCCCGAGGTCCCGACCGGTCCCACTTCCACTTCGCAAGTGCAGAAACGGGGGGGACACTTGCGAGCCTGTTACTCGGGACATTGCCGTCGCTTTCGCCTCTTGCCACTGGAACCAGGTTGCAGATTACATCCCATTTTACATTGTGCGCAGGGGCACCCCAAGCTCTCAAGTTCTGCACAAAGATCTGCCCCGTTTATCTCAACCGCGATTTGTGGGGTCTAGCTTGGCTGTCTGAGGAACCTAGGAAACCCAGCACATATTGCGCGTTCTCGATTGTGGCGCAGTGTATAGCTTGCCACTACCTTACACGGTGTTCGTATTCGTTTGACTGAGGTTTTGTGATTAACTTCAACATATCATATCTCCATCATGTTGCGCAAGGTGCGCGGGCGGTTTGGCGATAAGGTGAGTTTGGCGCGATTCGACATCAGCGGCGCGAGTACTGACTTGCGCAGTTGAACCCAGATGATGCCTTTTTAAGTTGTAAGTATCAGGAACAGAATCTGTCGCTTTGGTGATCGAAGACGGTATACTTACAAGTCGTCGTTGGGTGCTCATAGATTACGACGTGCGACGTATGGAATCAATCCCGAAAAGTGAGAAAGGGCTCTGCTAATGAACATGCAGTGACAAGAGAGGATATGCAAACTCTTAAGAACGATTGGCTCACAGATAATGTGGGTTTGAATGGCGAGACAATCCTTCCAGCTGGGACATATGAGCTAATTTGTCATAGATCATTTCATTCTGGGAGGAGTAAGTCCCTAAAATCAGTCCAGCATACTTCACAGTACCGAACATGGCACTGATCTCTGACTTTCATGCGCTAGATATCTCGAACATGAATTTCTATCACGATACCAATCCTCCAATATCATCCTTCTCCGCCCCAGCATGTCATTCATGATCCTCCAAACCCCCGATCCACGCACCCTCCGCGAAGCACTCCCGGATTTCACTCGAGCCACCCACGTCTTCCTCCCCATCAACGACTGCCGCAACGTCTCCCAAGCAGAAGGAGGCACACACTGGTCTCTCCTTTTGATCTCAGTCGTCGACCGCATCGCATTCCACTACGACTCGCTATACCAAGGAAACGTCTGGGAGGCAGACACGGTGACCCGCAAATTCGGATACCTCCTAAACATGCCCATTAGGTTCCTACATCTGAACGACTCGCCCCAGCAAGACGGCGGCAGCGACTGTGGCGTCTACGTGTGTATGAACATGCGGCATCTTCTCATGAAGCGGTTGCTGATGGCGAGCGCACACGAGAAAGTGAGTATGAGTCTCGGAGGGCGGAAGGTCGATGCCAATGCGTCTCGCAAAGAAATGGCCAAGATTATTGAGGGGTTCCGGAAAGAAGGCGAGCGCCGACGATCGTATGTCACCCGTGAACAACCTAGCTGCACGGCAGAAGCAAGAAGCTAATATTGGAATTCTTTTCAGAACAAGCGCCAGTCCTATGGGGAAGAAATCGAGGAGCCCTCCACGTGTTGATTGATTGGTCTTTCCTTTGCTTATTTATTTTTATGTGTCTACGCCTTCTTTATGCTTCCCTTGCGCACTCTCGGACTCCTCTTCAGAAGACAAAGCTTCATCGAAAACATATGGACATTGCATTGACGATTGTGTATCTACCAGCGTTGCATTACTTGAATGCATATCATGAACTACAGAATAACCTTCCAAGTACATTTTATTGTACTGTCTAATTCCCATGAACTTATTTCTTCCGGCTTTAAAGTTACCCTAGCTATATGTACTATACCATTATAGGGCGCTAGAAGTGCGCTTGCTATAGTTCTATAAGTTAGCTTAATTTTTAGGGTACGCTTTATAGACCCTATCTCTACCATTCAAAATATCAAGTTGCGCATTGCCAGTTATTAATATTAAATTCAATTGAATTTCCGTATTTGACTGGAAGGCTACAAAGTAGATCCTAGGCTAAAGTACCGAAGGTCAAATATGTACTACTGTACGGAGTATTTGTCGCTTCGCTATCTGACCATAATATGGGGCCATTGTAGTACTCGAGATGTGTATTTTCCATCTTATTCTCATAGCAAAATAAAGGGGATCTTGCTGATCCAGCAGTTGACGCCTTGGGAGTCAGGAAGCAGCGGGGGTTGGATGAATAAGTAACGGTACTAACCTTGGAACCCTTTCTCTAATTGTGACGGGAGGGAAGCGCAGTGCGTTCCTATTGGCAGAACTTCTGGGCGCTAATCCAAATGGGAAGAGAGAAACTAACATTTACCAACAGAGGGTCGCGTTTCTGCTGAGTAATATGAACGCTAGCCAGAATTCGACTAGTTTATTCTTGGAAGTACACTAGATAATAATAGCAGCTTGGGAGTAACCTTGAAACTGCGACGCTTTTCGAGATTTTTTAGTCGATACTCGAAGTCATCACCCCGGAGGATGTCCTCCATGAGTAATCCTGATCTATTCGAATACACCTCTGGACGCTTTTTGTGAGTCGTGACGGCGGCTAGCTGCTAAACGCGTCAATTGCGATAAACTAACTTGCTACGTCAAAATGGATTTAACGAAGAACTCCGTCGCCCTGAACGCTGTATTTAATTTGATATAGATGGCTCTTGTTAGGGCGGCCTGTGACTCTGTCGATCGACACCCTAATGGCGTGGCCTCGGTTATAAAACTCGCCGAGGGGGGCTTTAACCGTGTCTTGCAAGTCACCTTCAATGACGGATCTGCAGTTCTAGCAAGGATACCATACAAGACGACTGTTCCGAAGCATCATGCAGTGGCTAGTGATTGGGGCGATCCATTATCCGACACATTATCTAAGCCAGAGGTCAAATTGCCAGACAATTTTGATCAACTCAGCTATAAAGAACAGGAAACTATTCAAGAGACGATACGGAGACGGATTATACATTTCTATTATACTGCGTTAACCATAAAATTTCTGCCGGGTCATTTTGACGCTATCAGATCCGAAAACTGTATGCTCCGAGCGAAACTTTTTCATCGTGTATAGGCTCCTTAGGAAGGTGACTCTGTTTCGTTGAAGATGTTATGTTGTAGGTCCTTAATAATTGGCCTATTTCGCTGGATGAAGGAGCCCAAACGAGATATGTTGAGTGTCCAATTCACTTTTCTGAGGAAGAGATACAGAAATGTTCGGAGGATTATCGCCAAGAACAAGAGAAGCTACAAGAACTAGGCGAGATGAGGGATGTAATCGGGACAGATGCCCTAGGCTGGGTTTCAGATAAGGATGAGCTTGAACGGTGCAGGGCTGTCATCTAGAGCATCAAGGATGGTTGATAGAACATTCAAGCACTGAAATGGAGAAAACTGCGGTCCTTTCCCATTTTCCTTTCGATGATCATGAAGAAAACGCATGATACCTTTTCATAGTTCAGATCTCGATCTTGATAAATAAGGCATTGTGTCTTCCCAGGGTGTGCAAGTCTGCTCCTAGTTGGGAGACCCCCCATTGGCCGCTTCAAGGGTCTTTATTTATACATAGCTTACGGCCATCTTCAGATGGCTGGTCCCAAATTCGAGCAACAGATGGCTGAGATCCAGATTGGTGCTCTGTTGATGGCTTTGTTTGAAAACGGATTGGAAGAAGATGTCAAAAATACCTTATACCTGAGACCGCGACTGAGCACTCTATCTTGTCTGATGCAGGAGGCCTCGAAGAAAGATGATATGATTTAATAAAGGGGACCCAAACGAAGTGCTTCGAGCCCCTGGTTGAGATAATGTATTTATATGTGAGACCCCCATATACAACCTAAGCGGAATACTTGGAATTAACGTAGAATGGGGAAATAGAGGATAATGTATACTAGGGTAGTATAATAGATCAATAGCTGATGCTCTAAGGAAGCAGCCTACAAACAATATGGATGCTTGTAGGTCATATAACCTAAGGCCTAGGTATGTAACTAGGTATCAACACGTGCTACATTACTAGTTAGTTATCTGGATCTCCTGAAGGCTCCTAAGCCCCTAGGAACCAACGAATGGCTATCAACCCTGCAAAATCAGGCGGCATTTGACCTTTGGCCGCTCTGTCCCTTCACAATGGGTCGAAAGTCGGTGTGAGGGTAAGATATGGCAGGGGTACGTGGAAAGATACACGGATTACACTATACATGTAAGCTGTAAATACCTAGAATCAAGGATTCATCACAGAGATTGAATTCCTCTTATATATCAGATAGGGTGTCCACGCCGGTATATATTAGACTGCAATCAATGTATTGTTTGTAAGGTTATGGATGTTGTTGGGAGGTAAATGTGCAAGTTGATACATTGTACATATCTAATAAGACATAAGTAGTCAAGACTTGTGAATAAAAACAAGTGGAAGTCATCTATTTATCAAAACCCTCATAAAAGCCCAGTTCATCTCCAGTCATCAGGGCTGGTAGCTCCGTATCTTATCGCCGTGCGGAGCCAAACCCAAGCGCAACGTTAATTCCCCTCGTCTCTCGAATCCACTTTCCTCCATCATCTCCAACATATTGAGAGTGACCCAAAATCCCAGTCGGGCTGAACCGGGTAGATGCCGCAGAACTCGAGAGGCGACACCGAGCAGAGCGGTAAGCGCCAATCGATCGGCAAGAGGAAGCTTTCTGATCAAGGAGAGCCGTCGCAGCCGGCACAACAGACCATCTCCGAGCTCCTCTCCCAACGATATTCACCCGACCGGGGTTTCGATTCGCAAAAAAATAAGCGTTCTCGCCTGTCGCTATCTCCATCACGCCCCTCCTCAACACAAACGGTCCCACATAAGATGTATCCGATTTCCGGCTCCCCGCCTAAGAATGGCGCGCCTGGTCGGGGACTGTCTGGGCCAAATGGTCCCATCAGACCCCAAGGCTTGAACGCTAATACCCGCCAAAATAACTTTTCTCCTCACACCGGCGCGAAAAAGCTCGTCGTCAAGAATCTCCGTACCGGACCGCGGTTGAACCAGGAATCATATTTCGATAAGGTGTGGTCGCAGTTGGATGCGGCTTTAACCGCTATTTTTGATGGCAGGAAACCCGAGAACTCGCTGGAAGAGCTATACAAAGGCGGGGAGAACGTGTGCCGCCAGGAGCGGGCGGCCTTGTTGGCTAAGAAACTTCAGGATCGATGCAGAGAGTTTGTCAGTGGGAAAATGCGCACGAATCTTGTTACGAGAGCTGGAGGTAGCACTGATGTTGCTACATTACGGACAGTGATTGAAGCATGGTCGACCTGGCACTCGAGGCTGGTATGTGGCAAGGAAATATCTCGAATGAAGGTTCACAGCTGACTTTTCCGCTCCCCCAGGTTACTGTTCGCTGGATCTTCTATTATCTCGACCAGTCATTCCTCTTGCATTCCAAAGAACAACCAGTGATCCGTGAAATGGGATTGATTCAATTCCGGTCATACATCTTCTCCGACGCCAGTTTGAGGCCAAAGATTTTGAAAGGAGCATATGATTTGATCGAGGCGGATCGAGGCGGATTTACAAAGGCATTAGCTGATGCATCTCTGCTAAGAGAGGCCATAGAGCTTTTCCACAGCCTCGATGTTTATGGGAGTGACTTTGAGCCTTTATTCATGGCCAAGTCCGAGGAGTTTGTGAAAGAGTGGTCTCAGCAACAAGCAGCAGGAACCCTGGCCGCATACGTCGAGAATGCTCACCGGTTGATCGAACGTGAAGTAGAACGGTGCGGGCTGTTCTTTTTCAATCGAAGCACGAAGCTCAAACTGTCGGAGCTCCTGGATGAGACTCTAGTTACACAACAAACGGACGTATTGACCAGCGAAAGTGAAGTGCTTGGTTTGATGCGAGCCGGCAATAAGACCGCCTTGAAACAACTGTACGGGTTGCTTGACCGGCGAGATCTTAGTCTCGAATTGAAGCCTGCATTTAGGAAGTACATCATCGAGGAGGGTGAGAGCATCGTGTTTGATCAAGAAAGAGAGGCTGACATGGTCATTCACCTGCTCCAATTTAAGCAAAAGGTTGATGATATTTGCGCCAATGCCTTCGAGTCGAACGAGGAATTGGGTCACACGGTCCGCGAAGCCTTTGGTGTCTTTATGAACCATGGGAAGAAGATGGACTCTACTGGTGGCACCGACAACCCCAAATCGGGTGAAATGATCGCCAAATATGTGGATAGACTGCTTAAGGGTGGCTACAAGCTCCCACCGGGCCGTAATCCCGAGGAAATAAGTCTGATGTCCGACGATGCAGAGCTTGACCGACAGCTTGATCAAGTTCTCGACCTCTTCCGGTTCGTACATGGAAAGGCCGTCTTTGAAGCCTTTTACAAGAACGACCTTGCCCGGCGTCTCTTAATGAAACGAAGCGCGAGCAACGATGCGGAAAAGAGCATGTTAACTCGTTTGAAGAACGGTTTGTCGCATTGAAGATCCTACACTTGTGCGCTTTGACTAATATTTTGGTCAGAATGCGGGTCAAATTTCACCCATAACCTCGAGTCCATGTTCAACGACATGGACATTGCTAACGATGAAATGACGGCCTTCAAACGGTCGCAACAGGAGGAGCGAAAGGGCCGGTTCGAATTCGAAGTCAACGTCCTCTCTGCCGCCTCCTGGCCAACATATCCCGATGTCCCCGTACGGATTCCTGCCAAGATTGCACGCTCGATCAACAAATTCGAGACATTCTACCACAACAAACATACAGGCCGCAAGCTAACCTGGAAACATCAACTCGCGCATTGTCAGCTGACAGCAAACTTCCCCCTTGGCAAGAAGAACCTGGTAGTCAGCTCCTTCCAGGCGATCGTATTGCTGCTATTTAACGATATCCCCGATGGCGAGAGCATGCAGTACCCCCAGATCCAAGAAGCGACCGGATTGTGTAAGTGAACCATCACTGCCACACCCCAAAGAGTCGAACAATCCCTAATATAACACACAGCGGACCCGGAATTGAAGCGAACACTCCAGTCTCTCGCATGCGCCAAGTACCGAGTCTTATCCAAGACCCCCAAGGGTAAGGATGTGAACTCTAGCGACAAATTCTCGTACAACGCGAGTTTCAGTGACAAGCAAATGCGCATCAAGATCAACCAGATCCAGTTGAAGGAGACCAAAGAGGAGACCAAGACGACGCACGAGCGAGTTGCGGCCGACCGTCATTTCGAGACGCAAGCTGCTATCGTGCGCATTATGAAGAGTCGCAAATCACTCAGTCATGCCGAGCTGATTGCAGAGGTTATCAATGCTACTAAGAACCGGGGTGTTCTTCAGCCTGCGGAGATTAAGGGAGAGATTGAGAAGTATGTGTCCTCACTACTACCCGTCGTATCCGGTTACCGTGTCTAACGTCGTTTCCCCCTCTAGGTTGATTGAGAAGGAATACATTGAGCGCAAAGAAGGAACTAATCAATACAACTACGTGTCATGAGGCATAATCTTTACATGTTGAGAGTTGCAAGTAGGTACTTTGTTTCACTAAATGCACAGATTATTTGGTTTTATGTTTGATTCTTTGAGTGTGTGAACTATTTGGCTTGTCGGCAATTGATTATACCTGGAGAAATAACGGAGTAGCTCCGGTCCCACCAAGCCATTTAAAGTACTTGACCTCGGCCAGCGCCGATGGTTAATTAAACCAAAGTCAAAGCCACTAAAATACGAGAGACCAGGTAGAGGGGTAGACCAAAAAGGGAATCCGTGCCACCATTGTACATACCGAGGCCCGTTAGGATAATGATGATAATGATGATAATGATGATATTGGATATAATGGAATACTTGGCAATAGGATAATATTTGTGAATCATGAATGTTATAAAGTACGGAATAACAGCCGAATGCACCTGATACCCACAGTTATCACCCATCCGAACCCGATTGGGGAGGCATAACCCTATGAGATCAACGATATTCAAAGGACCCCATGACCTCGAACTAGACATATATTAACCCCACAACACCCCTGGATCTGACAGCAGATCCGAGGCTGGATGCTCCTTTCGTATTTTTGTAGATCCTTTTTTTTTTTCAAGGTCTCATGACGTCTCCACTTGAGACTTGCGGTATCCCAGTATTTGCTCTGGCAATTGGCGTTCGCATTGAGATACCATATTGTAGGTATTATGGCGAGAGTATCTCAATAGAACCTGAGATCAAGCCTATAATATGGGATAGCTATCCCTGGAATACATCAATCTATAGAACGTCCGTGGGTATGTAGCAAGTAAGAGGTGGTAGGTGCACCAGGAATGCCGGCATACCTACCCAGTTGAGGTTCGAACAAAAGTCCACTCGGGCGA